ACCCATTTTGAATATATGAAGTCAGATAAAACTGAAATAGATATACCATCAAAAACTAATCAAAAGAAAGCTAGAGTGATTATATTAATATCAGACTAAGTGAATTTCAAATTGAAGCATTACCAGAGATAAAGAGAAACATTACATAATAACATAGAAGTCAATTTTTTTCAAGAAAACATAACAACACTAAATTGTGCATACATCTCATAACAGAGCTTCAAAATGCATAAAACAAAACAGAGCTGAAAATGTCAACACTCATCTCCATAATTTTTAAAACATGCTGACAAAATTTAAGAATTCCTTTCCTCAAAAGAATCTAAAGAGAATAAAAACACAAGCCACAAACTAAAATCTAAGAGTGAATTATATAGAAATATACACACATGAATACACACACACACACATACAAATGCTGGAAAAATATCTGTACATATTGTCACCCTGCTTATATAACTTATATGCAAAATACATCATGAGAAATGCTGGGCTGGATGAAGCACAAGTTGGAACCAAGATTGCCGGGAGGAATATCAATAACCTCAGATATGCAGATGACACCACCCTTATGGATGAAAGCAAAGAAGAACTAAAGAGCCTCTTGATGAAAGTGAAAGAAGAGAGTGAAAACGCTGTTAAAACTCAACATTCAAAAAACTAAGATGATGGCATCTGGTCCCATCACTTCATGGCAAATATATGGGGAAACAATGGAAACAGTGACAGGCTTTATTTTTGGGGGCTCCAAAATCACTGCAGATGGTGGCCGCAGCCATGTAATTAAAACAAGCTTGCTCCTTGGAAGAAAAGCTATGGCCAATCTAGAGAGCATATTAAAAAGCAGAGACATTACTTTGCCAACAAAGGTCCATCTAGTCAAAGCTATGGTTTTTCCAGTAGTCATGTATGGATGTGAGAGTTGGACAATAAAGAAGGCTGAGTGCCAAAGAATTGATGCTTTTGAACTGTGGTGCTGAAGAAGACTCTTGAGAGTCCTTTAGACTGCAAGGAGATCAAACCAGTCAATCTTAAAGGAAATCAGTCCTGAATATTCATTGGAAGGACTGATGCTGAGGCCAAAACTCCAATACTTTGGCCACTTGATGTGAAGAACTGACTCATTAGAAAAGACCCTGATGCTGGGAAAGATTGAAGGCAGGAAAAGAGGATGACAGAGGATGAGATGGTTGGATGGTGTCACTGACTTAATGGACATGAGTTTGTGCAGGCTGTGGGCGATGGTGAAGGACAGAGAGGCCTGGTGTGCTGCAGTCCATGGAGGTGCAAAGAGTCAGATATGACTGAGCGACTGAACAACAACAACAAAATGAGTCAATATTTAAGAGAACATAAAATAGGCAAAACACTTGAATGAAGACAAATCCAAATGGCCATGAAACATATGAAGAAATGTTTAAGCAAAGAGAATGACTAGAAAAGAGAAACAGAATATTTGGAATTAAAAATTCAGTGTAAGGGTTTAATAGCAGAATGGCACCCCACTCCAGTACTCTTGCCTGGAATATCCCATGGATGGAGGAGCCTGGTAGGCTGTCATCCATGGGGTCACTAAGAGTTGGACATGACTGAGTGGCCTCCCTTTCACTGTTCACTTTCATGCATTGGAGAAGGAAATGGCAACCCACTCCAGTGTTCTTTCCTGGAGAATCCCAGGGATGGGGGAGCCTGGTAGACTTCCGTCTATGGGGTCGCACAGTCGGACTTGACTGAAGCAACAGCAGCAGCAGCAGCAGACACAGCTAAAAAGAGAATTGGTAAGGTAGATTTGGAAGAAAGAGGTGAACAAATTATCCAGAATGTAGTCTGACAGCAAGATTATGGTACAACAGGAACTTTTAGATATTGTTGTTAGGTACAGTCACCTTGGAAAACACATAGAAGTTATTTAGTAAAGTTGAACATGTACATACAATGCTAATTCTAGGTATACTTTTTTGAGATCCTTCTGCACATATGCATTTAGGACTCATGTACAAGAATGTACAAAATAACATATTTGTAATAGCCCCAAGTTGGAAACCAATTGTCTGTCAGCAGAAAAGGTAAATAAATCATGATATGATCATACAATAAAATATTATACAACAGTAAAAAGAAATGAAATAGTATTATACATGACAACATTGTTGAATTTTTCAGTTATAATGTCAAGTAAAAGAAAAAAGTTCCAAATAAAATGCTTTCAATATGATTCTGTCTAAATAAAATTCAAAAGAGACAAAACTAAATTATTATTAAGGAATACACATTCAGGTTGTAATAAAACTATACAAAAAGTAAGAAAATAATTCAAGTAACTCAAAAAATCAAGTAGGACTTCCCTGGTGGTCACTGGTTTGGAATCCACCAGCCAATGCAGCGGACATGGGTTTGATCCCTGGTCTGGGAAGATTCACATTCCATGAGGCATCTAAGCCTGTGCACAACTACTGAAGCCCACACACCCTAGAGCCAGTGCTCGGCAACAAGAGAAGCCACTGCAATAAGAAGACCATGCACTGTGACTAGAGAGTAAACCCTGCTAACTGCAACTAGAGAAAGCCGCACACAGCAACAAAGACTCAGCACAGCAAAAAATATATAATTTTCTAAAAAATCAGAGTACTCTTTTTATTGGAGAAGGAGGAAGATGTGACCAGAAAGAGGCACACAAGGTTGGAAAGCTCTTTTAAGAAGCCTAGTGAAATATGCCAGTCAGACAAAGACAAATACTATATGTTATCATTTATATATGGAATCTAAAAAATAAAATAGATGAATATAAGAATAACAAACAAAACACATCCCCTAAGAAACAGCCATTAAACTTCTAAGAAGATAATATCATAAATGCATGATATTGTATTTAGAAAAATGTTGCTTATAGCACCATTCATAATAGCAAGAATATTAAATCAAGGTTATATAAAAAAATATACCACAAGAGAATTCTATAATGATATAGATCTATATTTATTGCCATGAAATGTGGGTGATGTTTTCTAAAAGAGGATTTAAAAGAGTTTGTATGTGTTCTCATTTTTCAAAAGTTCAAAAATATTTATATGAACTAAAAAAAAAATTGAAAGAATATACACCAAAATACTAACAGATACTAACAGCTATGGGCTTCCCTTGTGGCTCAGCTGGTAAAGAATCTGCCTGCAGTGTAGGAGATCTGGGTTTGATCCCTGGGTGGGAAGATCCCTTGTAGAAGGGAAAGACTACCCACTCCAGTATTCTGGCTTGGAGAATTCCATGGACTATATAGACCATGGAGTTGCAAAAAGTCAGACACAACTGAGCAGTTTTCACTTTCACTTTACAACAGCTATCTCTGGATGGTGAAATTATTGGTAATCCTTATTTTCTTCCTAATAGTTATTGATGTTTCTAGAACTTTTTAAAATGAGCATACACTACGCTCTCAGTTAAATTATAGTTAATTTTTTTGATGTGAAGCACCAAGAAATTAATACTATTTAAAAATTACAATTACACAAAATTCATGCTCTTTCTTGCTTCTGCTTGCGCTTAGTCTCTGGTGCTGCCGTGTAGACTAAGTGAAGTAGAACCAAGAAAGAAGTTTTACCTCACCAGCCAATTTTTGGAGGTCTTGTGAGATCAAACAAGACCAATAAAAAAAAAAAATTCATAAAGATTAAATATTCTCAATCAAATACTTTTTTGGGGTTTTGTGCAAGTAACATAGTTCAGGGACTTGGCCAGTAGCCTAGAGTATAAAATATGATACTACTCATAACTTTATGTAGGGTAATTGCCTACTTCATTAGTTACTTGATCTTGTACTTTTCAGGACTACTGGAATCCCACAATCAACTTTTTTCCTAGGTGTTTCTTCATTTAACCTCTAATTGATACCATGACTGGAAAGCCATATGTAAAACTGCATGGATATACCTAGATAAAAAAAATAAGGTAAAGACTCTCACTGATCACATCAAATATGTGTATGCTTAGTTGTTTCTGATTCTTTTGAGAGCCCATGGACTGTAGTAGCCTCAGGCTCCTCTGTCCATGGGATTTTCCAGGCAAGAATACTAGAGCGGGTTGCCATTTCCTCCTCCAGGTGCCTTCCCAATCCAGGGATAGAACCCGTGTCGTTTGTGTCTCCTGAATTGGCAGGCGATTCTTTGTCACTGTGCCACTTGGGAAGCCCATATTATATGTACCTAAGGTTAAGCACACACACACATAGGAAGGGGCTAAGTTTGGAGTGTCACTAGGCATAGTATAAACTTAGAATGCAGAATGCAATAATTGTTATTATTGAATTGTTATTACTGAAGATGAATAAAAATGCAACTAATTAAGAATAAGTGTATTTTGCAGCTGTAAAAAGTGTTGTCATTAATTGATGGGGGATTCATTTAATTCATAAATTTTTAGTATATTTGGTTTTCCATCACAATTTATTTTCTGTATGCAGCCAGGTAAAAAAAACCCAACTGACTTATTTCAATAGATTCTTAGAGTGTAGTACCAGCTTAATTTATATGTTTATAAGTTTAACTTTGATTTTTTAAAAACCTACCACTTTTTGAGAACTAAACTACCAGTAAGTTGGTATGTGTAATCATAAAAAATTTTTTAGTCTTTGAAATACAAATGTCTCCCAATATTAAAGTTATTTTGCTTTGGCCTGATACTGTTTGCCTGGATAAGATACTTTTGAACTTACAATAATAAGGTTTTATGTAACAATCACTTCTCTTCTCTTCTCCTTTAGCCTTAACTTTATCTGAAACTATTATAAAAGGTGGTAGACTTTGTGTTGTATTTTGATTTTATTTTTATTTTAGCAGAGTATTTAGTCTTTTTTTCTCCCAACTCATAAAACTATTTTTAAAAATCCCCAAATTGAATTGGAGCTTTCCTATTATATTGTCTGTATTTGTAAGGCTAGATTTGCCCAGAGTTTGCCCAGACTTGACTATTAAAATGTACTATAACAACTTCATTCCAGTTGAAATCACCTTTTTCTTGATTCTTGTCAAGAAGTTCTTTCAAAGCATTTTCTAAAAAACTGGAATCTGTTCCAGGTTCTTCCTTTGATGGAATTATACTAAGTGGTCTGTGTATTATTCCGTCAGGCTCAGCAACACCATTATTAGTCTGCTGTTTATCTAAAGAAACTGTTGCTGATGCTGAATAAATATTTCCTAAATGATCCATTATAGGAAGCAAATATAATTCTGGTTGAAGAGCCTAAAACATACAGGAAATTTAAAAATTAGTTTATACTTTAAAAAGCAATAAGTTAAAAAATTGGCATAAGTTTAAAATGTCAAATTACACACATATGGAGGAACAAATGATTTGAGTTTCAGTTCTGATTCTTGCTTTGTCTTCACCTACAAACAAATGAAAAAATAATTAAAGCTTTTGTAGCATTTTCCAGTTACTTTTAGTCTCACTTTTTTGCAGAAGGCATATATCTGTGATATAAAAATCACATCAAATAGTTGGTACTAAAGCTGGTAACTAAGCTAGATTCTAGAAAAGGTAGAATATATCCTACTTGTATTCAGTGTACTAAACATAATAGAAACTCTATGTTATTTAACAACAGTAATTATGGCTCTCACTTGCATGGACTTACTATGTGCCAGGTACATATGTACAATGTACATATGTACAATGCACATATGTACAAGGCTTTACACTTAACATACAAAGCTCAGTTAATCCTCACAGTTCCATGTGATAGGCATACATATTGTCTGTAGTTCACAGATGAGAATGAGGCAAAGAGAGGTTAAGTATCTTGCCTAAGATTTTAGAAATAGGAAGTTTCCAAGTTGGGATGCAAAACCAGGTAATCTAGTTCCAGAATCCAACTTTGTAAACCTTACTTCCTAAACGTTAGACCCACAGAGCTAATTTGTTACTTGTTTATTCATTCAACAAGTATGGAGGACGTAGTGTGTCAGGCAATGTTCTATAGGGTGGGGATACAATGGTAATGTGAAGTCTCTCATGTAGCTTATATTCTGCTTGGAGAGCAGATGTTAAAATAAACATGATTTAAGGTAGTGATATGTGATTTACGAAAATAAAATGCAGTGATGTAATAGAGAGTAATTCAGAGAAACAATATCTGAAAATTAGGTGGTCAGGGAAGACATTTTGAAAAAAAAAAAAAGAAAAATAAAGACAATAATTGAGCTGAGAACTGAATTATGAAAGAAAAAAAAAGCAATCTATTTGAAAATCAGGGAAGTGATTTCCAGGCAGGTACAAAGATGATGAAATAGATGTGAGTTTGGCTTCATGTGAGGACCAAAGGAAGATTTTGTGGCTAAAATGTAGAACCAAGAAGAAAATAGTAGTAGATGAAATCTGAGAGCCAGCCTGTTCATGAGACTCTTATCTCTTGCCTAGCCACTGTAAGACTCCTGGTTACAATTCCTGTCTCTGGTTTCTTAAGGCTCTCATCACGTTATCTTCTGCTCAAAAACTACCAAGTTTCAGGAAAAAAATCCAAATTCATTAATCTGGCATTCAAGACCTTCAACCACCTACGTTTACAATTGTCTACTATTTCCTTTCACACAGTCAATGCTCCAGTAAAAACTGAACCACTCACTTTTCTGTAGTTGCCTGCTTTGCCACTTCCGTGCTCATTCTGCTTTCTCTCCTCAGAAAGCTTCTGCTACCCAACATTTTTGCAAGATCAAATCAAGATCAAGATCTGTCAAAATCCAAACTGATGATCACTTCTTTCCTAAAGTTCTCCATTTCACCTGTTCTCTTTCTGGAAGGAGTCTCTTTTTCTTCTAAATATACAGAATCAGTTCAGTTCAGTTCAGTCGCTTGTGTCCCACTCTTTGCAACCCCATGGACTGCAGCATGCCAGACCTCCCTGTCCATCACCAACTTCAAGTTTATTCAAACTCATGTCCATTAAGTTGGTGATGCCATCCAACCATCTCATCCTATGTTGTCCCCATCTACTCCCACCTTCAATCTTTCCCAGCATCAGGGTCTTTTCAGATGAGTCACTTTGCATTAGGTGACCAAAGTACTGGAGTGTCAGCTTCAGCATCAGTCCTTCAATGAATATTCAGGACTGATCTGGGGCTTCCATGGTGGCTCAGATGTTAAAGCATCTGCCTGCAATGCGGGAGAGACCCAGGTTTGATCCCTGGATTTGGAAGATCCCCTGGAGAAGGAAATGGCAACCCACTCCAGTATTCTTCCCTGCAGAATTCCATGGACAGAGGATCCTGGTGAGCTACAGTCATGGGGTTGCAAAGAGTCGGACATGACTGAGCGATTTCACTTTCTTTTTCTTTCTTTCTTTTTTCCTTTAAGATGGACTGGTTGGATCACCTTGCAGTCCAAGGAGCTGTCAAGAATTCTTCTCCAACACCACAGTTCAAAAGCATCAATTCGTTGGGACTCAACTTTCTTTAAGATCCAACTCTCACATCCATACATGACTCTGGAAAACCATAGCTTTGACTAGATGGACCTTTGTTGGCAAAGTAACGTCTCTGCTTTTTAATGTGCTGTCTAGGTTGGTAATAACTTTTCTTCCAAGGAGCAAGTGTCTTTTTAATTTCACGGCTGCAGTCACCATCTGCAGTGATTTTGGAGCCCCCCCAAAATAAAGTCTGTCACTGTTTCCACTGTTTCCCCATCTATTTGCCATGAAGTGATGGGACTAGATGCCATGATCTTAGTTTTCTGAGTATGAGTTTTATGCCAACTTTTTTACTCTCCTCTTTCACTTTCATCAAGAGGCTCTTTAGTTCCTCTTTGCTTTCAGCCATAAGGGTCATGTCATCTGTATATCTGAGGTTTTTGATATTTCTCCCAGCTTGTGATTTCAGCTTCTGCTTCATCTAGCTGAGCATTTCTCATGATGTACTCTGCATATAAGTTAAATAAGCAAGGTGAATATATACAGCCTTGACGTACTCCTTTCCTGATTTGGAACCAGTCTGTTATTCCATGTTCACTTCTAACTGTTGCTTCTACCTGCATACGATTTTTTCAAGGGGCAAGTCAGGTGGTCTGGTATTCCCATCTCTCTAAGAATTTTCCACAGTTTATTGTGATCCACACAGTCAAAGGCTTTGGCAGACTCAGTAAAGCAGATGTTTTTCTGGAAGTCTCTTGCTTCTAGAGTTTCCCAAGAGAACACACTGGTCATAACAAACACCCTCTTCCAGCAACACAAGAGAAGACTACACATGGACATCACCAGATGGTCAATACTGAAATCAGATTGATCATATTCTTTGCAGCCAAAGATGGAGAAGCTCTCTATAGTCAGTAAAAGCAAGACTGGGAGCTGACTGTGGCTCAGATCATGAACTCCTTATTGCCAAATTCAGATTGAAATTGAAGAAAGTAGGGAAAACCACTAGAGCATTCAGGTATGACCTAAATAAAATCCCTTACGATTATACAGTGGAAGTGAGAGATAGATTCAAGGGATTAGATCTGATAGACAGCCTGAAGAACTATGGACGGAGGTTCATGACATTATACAGGAGGCAGGGATCAAGACCATCCCCAAGAAAAAGAAATGCAAAAAGGCAAAATGGTTGTCTGAGGAGGCTTCACAAATAGCTGAGAAAAGAAGTTAAGGCAAAGGAGAAAAGAAAAGATATACACATCTGAATGCAGAGTTCCAAAGAAGAGCAAGGAAAGATAAGATAGCCTTCCTCAGTGATCAATGCAAATAGAGGAAAACAAAAGAATGGGAAAGACTAGAGATCTCTTTAAGAAAATTAGAGACACCAAGGGAACATTTCATGCAAAGATGGGCACAATAAAGGACAGAAATGGTATAGACCTAACAGAAGCAGAAGGTATTAAGAAGAGGTGGCAAGAATACTCAGAAGAACTATACAAAAAAGATCTTCATGACCCAGATAATCATGATGGTGTGGTCACTCACCTAGAGCTGGACATCCTGGAATGCGAAGTCAGTGGGTCTTAGGAAGCATCACTAACAAAGCTAGTGGAGGTGATGGAATTAAAGTTGAGTTATTTCAAATCCTAAAAGATGATGCTGTGAAAGTGCTGCACTCAATATGCCAGGAAATTTGGAAAACTCAGCAGTGGCCACAGGACTGGGAAAGATCAGTTTCATTCCAATCCCAAAGAAAGGCAATGCCAGAGAATGCTCAAACTACCTCACAGTTGCATTCATCTCAGACACTAGGAAAATAATGCTCAAAATTCTCCAAGCCAGGCCTCAATAGTATGTGAACCATGAACTTCCAGATGTTCAAGCTGGATTTAGAAAAGGCAGAGGAACCAGAGATCAAATTGTCAACATCTGTTGGATCATCGAAATATATAGAATATGCTGTTTTAATTATTTCTATATTTTATCTTCACCACTAAACTGAATATTCGTTAAGGGAAAAATCTATGTCCAATTCTTTTTTTCTCTCATTTTGTATACAGAAAAACATCAATAACTATTTGTTGAAAACAATAAATTATTAGAAACATTTTAGAACTTGATTTTAATTACTGTCAAGTCACTTCTAATTTAGAATTCTGTGGCTGATATTTAGTAATTTACATATCATGAAAAAGAACAAACATTTATGGGAGTAATTCTTTTTCTTCCGAGATTCAGTTCAACTCAGTTCAGTCGCTCAGTCGTGTCCGACTCTTTGCGACCCCATGAATTGCAGCATGCCAGGCCTCCCTGTCCATCACCAACTCCCAGAGTTTACTCAAACTCATGCCCATCGAGTCGGTGATGCCATCCAGCCATCTCATGCTCTGTCGTCCCCTTCTCCTCCTGCCCTCAATCCTTCCCAGCATCAGGGTCTTTTCCAATGAGTCAACTCTTCACATCAGGTGGCCAAAGTTTTGGAGTTTCAGCTTCAGCATCAGTCCTTCCAATGAACACCCAGGACTGATCTCCTTTAGGATGGACTGATTGGATCTCCTTGTAGTCCAAGGGACTCTCAAGAGTCTTCTCCAACACCATAGTTCAGAAGCATCAATTTTTCGGCACTCAGCGTTCTTCACAGTCCAACTCTCACATCCATACATGACCACTGGAAAAACCATAGCCTTGACCAGATGGACCTTTGTTGGCAAAGTAATATCTCTGCTTTTTAATATGCTGTCTAGGTTGGTCATAACTTTCCTTCCAAGGAGTAAGCGTCTTAATTTCATGGCTGCAGTCACCATCCACAGTGATTTTGGAGCCCCAAAAAATAAAGTCTGACACTGTTTCCACTGTCTCCCCATCTATTTCCCATGAAGTGATGGGACCAGATGCCATGATCTTAGTTTTCTGAATGTTGAGCTTTAAGCCAACTTTTTCACTCTCCTCTTTCACTATCATCAAGAGGCTTTTTGATTCCTCTTCACTTTCTGCCATAAGGGTGGTGTCATCTGCATATCTGAGGTTATTGATATTTCTCCCAGCAATCTTGATTCCAGCTTGTGCTTCATCCAGCCCAGCGTTTCTCATGATGTACTCTGCATAGAAGTTAAATAAGCAGGGTGACAACATACAGCCTTGAGGTTCTCCTTTTCCTATTTGGAACCAGTCTGTTGTTTCATGTCCAGTTCTAGCTGTTGCTTCCTGACCTGCATATAGGTTTCTCAAGAGGCAGGTCAGTTGGTCTGGTATTCCCATCTCTTTCAGAATTTTCCACAGTTTATTGTGATCCACACAGTGGAAGGCTTTGGCATAGTCAATAAAGCAGAAATAGATGTTTTTCTGGAACTCTCTTGCTTTTTTGATGATCCAGAGGATGTTGGCAATTTGATCTCTGGTTCCTCTGCCTTTTCTAAGACCAGCTTGAACATCTGGAAGTTCTCGGTTCACGTATTGCTGAAGCCTGGCTTGGAGAATTTTGAGCATTACTTTACTAGCATGTGAGATGAGTGCAATTGTGTGGTAGTTTGAGCATTCTTTGGTATTGCCTTTCTTAGGGATTGGAATGGAAACTGACCATTTGCAGTCCTGTGGCCACTGCTGAGTTTTCCAAATTTGCTGGCACATTGAGTGCAGCGCTTTCACAGCATCATCTTTCAGGATTTGAAATAGCTCAACTGGAATTCCATCACATCCACTAGCTTTGTTTGTAGTGATGCTTTCTAAGGGCCACCTGACTTCACATTCCAGGATGTCTGGCTCTAGGTGAGTGTTCACACCATTGTGATTATCTGGGTCATGAAGATCTTTTTTTACAGTTCTTCTGTGTATTCTTGCCACCTCTTCTTAGTATCTTCTGCTCTGTTAGGTCCACACCATTTCTGTCCTTTATCGAACCCATCTTTGCATGAAATGTTCCCGTGGTATCTCTAATTTTCTTGAAGAGATCTCTAGTCTTTCCCATTCTGTTGTTTTCCTCTATTTCTTTGCATTGATCACTGAGGAAGGCTTTCTTATCTCTCCTTGCTGTTCTTTGGAACTCTGCATTCAAATGGGAATATCTTTCCTTTTCTCCTTTGCTTTTTGCTTCTCTTCTTTTTGGGAAACTAACTTAATGATCAGTAAATTAATATTCTGTGTATGGAACAGAACTCTATGACAAAATGTTCAAATCTAGTAGATAAGCCCAAGAATTCCAATAGCAAATTCCTCTACAGTACTACTTTAAGGGGATGTTTATTTTTTTCCATTATCATTCATTATTTAATTTTTTTCAATAAACACTTAAATGTCTCTAAGTGCTAAAAGACTTGTTAGGCACTCGTATATAAAATAGTGACTAAAATAAGGCCTTTGGTTATAGGGAGCTATAGTCTAGGCAGAGTTAGATGTTAAACAAATAACACATAAGGAAATACATAATAATGATATGTTTAAACTAGAGTAGAATAGGGATAAATGTCATTTTAGAGTTTCAGTTCAGTCATTCAGTCATACCCAACTCTTTGCGACCCCATGGACTGCAGCACACCAGGCTTCCATGTCCATCACCAACTCCTGAAGCTTGTTCAAACTCATGTCCATCACATTGCTGATGTCATCCAACCATCTCATCCTCTGTCATCCCCTTTTCCTACTGCCTTCAATCTTTCCCAGCATTAGAGTCTTTTCTAAAGAGTCAGTTCTTCACATCAGGTGGCCAAAGTATTGGAGCTTACGCCTCATCATCAGTCCTTCCAATGAATATTCAGGGCTGATTTCCTTTAGGATTGACTGGTTTCATCTCCTTGCAGTCCAAGGGACTCTCAAGAATCTTCTCCAACACCACAGTTCAAAAGCATCGATTCTTCGGTGCTCAGCTTGCTTTATAGTTTTAACTCTCACATCCATACACGACTACTGGAAAAACCATAGCTTTGACTAGGTGGACCTTTGTTGGCAAAGTAATGTCTCTGCTTTTAAATATGCTGTCTAGGTTGGTCATAACTTTTCTTCCGAGGAGCAATCATCTTTTAATTTCAAGGCTGCAGTCACCATCTGCAGTGATTTTGGAGTCCAAGAAAATAAAGTCCATCACTGTTTCTATTGTTTCCCCAACTACTTGACATGAAGTGATGGACTGGATGCCATGATCTTCGTTTTTTGAATGCTGAATTTTAAGCCAGCTTTTTCACTGTCCTCTTTCACCATCATCAAGAGGCTCTTTAATTCCTCCTTGGTTTCTGCAATAAGGGTGGTGTTAACATGCGTATCTGAGATTAATGCTATTTCTCCGGGTAATCTTGATTCCCACTTGTGGTTCATCCAGCCCTGCATTTCACATGAAGTACTTAGCATATAAGTTAAATAAGCAGGGTGACAAAATACAGCCTTGACGTACTCCTTTCCCAATTTGGAACCAGTCTGTTGTTCCTTGTCTGGTTCTAACTGTTGCTTCTTGACCTGCACACAGATTTCTCAGGAGGCAGGTCAGGTATCTGGTACTCCCATCTCTTTCAGAATTTTCCACACTTTGTTGTGATCCACACAGTCAAAGGCTTTAGTGTAGTCAGTGAAACTGAAGTATATGTTTTTCTGGAATTCTCTTGCTTTTTCGATGATCCAGTGGATGTTGACAATTTTATCTCTGGTTCCTCTGCCTTTTATAAATACAGCTTGAACATCTGGAAGTTCTTGGTTCACATACTTGAAGCCTATCTTGGAACATTTTGAGCATTACTTTGCTAATATGTGAGATGAGTGCAACTGTGTGGTAGTTTTAACATTCTTTGGCATTGCCTTTCTTTGGGATTGGAATGAAAACTGACCTTTTCCAGTCATGTTGCCAGTGCTTAATTTTCCATATTTGCTGGTATATTGAGTGCAGCACTTCCACAGCATCATCTTTTAGGATTTGAAATAACTCAGCTGAAATTCCATCACCTCCATTAACTTTGTTCATAGTAATGCTTCTTATGGCCCACTTAACTTCACACTCCAGGATGTCTGGTGCTGGGTGAGTGATCACATCACCATGGTTATCTCTGTCATTAAGATCATTTTTTGTACAGTTATTTTGTGTATTCTTGCCACCTGTTTTTAATATCTTCTGCTTCTGTTAGGTCCATACCATTTCTGTCCTTTATTGAGCCCATCTTTGCATGAAATGTTCCCTTGGTGTCTCTAATTTTCTTGAAGAGAGCTCTAGTCTCTCCTATCCTATTGTTTTCCTCTGTTTTTTACATTGATCACTTAGGAGGGCTTTCTTATCTCCTCTTGCCATTCTTTGGAACTCTGAATTCAGACGGGTATTTCTTTCCTTTTATCCTTTGTTTTCCCTTCTCTTCTTTTCTCAGCTATTTTTAATGCCTCCTGAGACAACCCTTACCTTTTTGTATTTCTTTTTCTTGGTGATGGTTTTGATTACTACCTTCTTACAGTGTTACGATCCTCTGTCTATAGTTCTTCAGGCACTCTGTCTATCAGATCTAATCCCTTTAATCCATTCACTTCCACTGTATAATCATAAGGGATTTGATTTAGGTTGTACCTGAACGGTCTAGTGGTTTCCCTACTTTCTTCAATTTCAGTCTGAATTTGGTAATAAGGAGTTCATGATCTGAGCCATAGTCATCTCCTGGTCTTGTTTTTGCTGACTGTATAGAGCTTCTCCATCTTTGGCTGCAAAGAACATAATCAATCTGATTTCAGTATTGACTCTCTAGGGATGTCCATGTGTAGTATCATCTCATGTGTTGTTGGAAGAGGGTGTTTGCTATGATCAGTGCGTTCTCTTGTTAAAACTCTGTCAGGCTTTGCCCTGCTTCATTTTGTACTCCAAAGCCAAACTTGCCTGTTACTCTATGTACCTCTTGACTTCCGACTTTTTCACTCCAGTAGCCTATGATGAAAAAGACATCCTTTTTGGGGTGTTAGTTCAATAAGGTTTTGTAAGTCATCATAGAACCATCCAACTTCAGCTCCTTCAGCATTAGTGGTTGGGGCATAGACTTGGTTTGCTGTGATATTAAATGATTTTCCTTGAAAACGAAAAGAGATCATTCTTTTGTTTTTGAGATTGCACCCAAATATTGCATTTCTGACTCTTTTGTTGACTGTGAGGCCTACTCCATTTCTTCTAAGGGATTCTTGCCCACTTAGAGTTTAAATAGGGAAAATCTTGATTAGAGAATAAACCTTATATAAATATGAGAAACCAGAAACTTTGAGATCTAATGGTTTGCTGGAATGAGATTTCAGCTAGGAGAACTCTCTATTTAGAAAATCCTGCCACTGAAGTTACAAATAGGAGTGTTCAATTGAGAACAGCTGATTCCTGCCCCATCAAATACAGTATGTTGGAGTCATTCCACATCAAACAAGGCTAGCTGTGGCCTAACAAATGAGAATCCTTTTTTTCCCCCACAAGTGCTCATTTAGAAAGCTTTTAAATGCTATTAAATTTAAAAATTTATTATCACATTTAAAATTTATCTTTCTTTTCTCCCCAAGGAAATTTACACACTAAAACCCCCCATATTTTAGTGCACAATAATATACCAGAAAGGCCCATCTTTTCTTGATGACCTATGTGCTAAATGATATTTCCATTTTGTTATGACTGAGATTACATATTGCATAGTATATTAAGGAGTTGAGTTGATAGCATTTAGGAAAGAAAATTTGTTACTGTATGCTTTTCTTTAATCAAAAGGAAAAATTAAGGAAACTTACTACAGCTAGATTATTTCCAATGCATTTGAGAAATAAAAATTTTTCTGCAACAGCTTCTTCACCAAGGAACTCACTGAGACGCTCCCTCAGGTCTTGTAAAGTTAGGTGAGGAGATACTCTGAAATATCATGACATTGCCTTATAATGTAAAATAAAATAGGTTTCAGCTATAATAAAGATTCAATAGCTTTATTCATTTAACTCAAATCCAAATACTACTTTAATATATCACATATAACTTAATATATTGTGTTTCTACATTGCTTGGAACTTTGTAGGCTTGACGGCTATAAATATATTTTTACAAAATGGTTAAAAGTCACTTAATCAATAAAATCATTAAAATTTTAAATTATCCAAAGGTACAGTTTATAAAAGTCCTTTCTGTACTAAAAAGGATTTATTTTCTCATCTACCTTCAGTTTCACTTTTCTCTACCTTCAGTTTTTTTATTAAAATAAAACCTTGCAATGATATTTATATAATGTTATATGAATCTTAAAGAAGGATTTAGCCACAGATAATTATTTTGGAAGTTTGACAGTGTTAGCTAATGTTTAAAACTTTCTTTGATGATCGAATGTCATCAGACTAAACATCTTTGCTTACTGGGAACACTTCATTCCTCAACATCTAAAATTTAAAGCTCTTGTTTGTTCTGAGTTCTTATTTTTGTAGACTTTTAGGGGAATATTATATAATTAACTCATTCAATTAACAAATATATATTGAGCTCCTCTTTGTGTCAGACATTGTTGTAGGGTTGAGAATAAGGCAATCAACAAAACAAATATTTTTGCCCTTATAGACCTTATAATCTAATAATGCTGGAAGTGAAAAATTAACAAAGTAATAAGAAAAAATTAAATTCATAAGACACTGCTAAGTACTATTTGCTGTTGTTGTTTAGTCGCTCAGTCCTATCTGATTCTTTGTGACAGCATGGACTGTAGTCTGCCAGGTTCCTCTGTCCATGGGATTCTCCATGCAAGAACACTAGAGTGGGTTGCCATTTATTTCTCCAGGGAATCTTTCCAGTGCAGGGATTGAACCCACGTCTCCTGCATTGGCAGGCAGATTCTTTATTGCTGAGCTACCAGGGAAGCCCAGTACTATAGAGAAACATAAAGCAGGTAAGGATGAGTATTCTGATGAGAGAAAATATAAACAAAAAAGTAATATTGGAGAAAAGACATGAATGAAGGAGGTGAGATAGCATATGTAAAGACACAAAGAGCATTTTAGACAAAAGAAACAGCAAGTACAAGAGTTCTGAGGTAGGACTATGTCTAATGTGTTCCAGAACAGAAAGGAAGTTCGTGTGCTTGAAAGAAATGATCGGGAAGGTTAGGAAGACTGAGGTGTCCTCAAGAGAAATAACAACAGGCAGTTAGAACATAGTATCATGTGTGTTTCTGTGAATGTGAAAATATATATATATGTTATGTGCGTGCTCAGTTGCTTCAGTCGTACCCAACTTTTTACATCTCAGTGGACCACGGCCCATCAGGCTCCTCTGTCCATGCAATTCTCCAGGCATGAACACTGGAGTGGGTTGCCCTGCCCTTCTCCAGGGGATCTTCCCAAGGAATCAAATCCATATGCCTTAAGTCTCCTGCATTGGCAGACGGGTCTTTTACCACTAGCGCCACCTGGGAAGCCCATATGTGTTATATGTATATATATATGTGGTGTTTCTATTTTTAAATAGTTCAGTGAAAAAGTCATTGTAGATATGCTAGTTTAACCACTAGTCATAGCTCTTCAGTAGGTTTCTAATTTCAGGTAAATATGGTCTTAACTCTCTTTGTGTATAGCCTGGTTACTACACAGGTTAGTTTTACTCTGTTTTCTAGGTGGCAGTGCGGTGGCTAAGTGATACCTGTTCCTATGGCACTTTTAACAGTTACATAGTATTATTTACTGATAGTATTCATTAAGGCAGGGACTGGATCCATCACACGAACAAGATATTTTTTACTTACAATTTTGAATTTCCACAAAGCATTTTTCTCTGCAGAAAAAAAAAAGATCACTTTTTCAGATATATTGTAATGTGACTACAAAATACTTGCCTTATAAATCCAGCTGAAATGAATTTGTTAACAACTTCTATTGAAATGGTATTTAACTTATAATTCCATGATCCTTCAGGTACATAAAAAACATGAAGTTCCACCAACTGAATAAATTGAGAATAAAGTCAGTTAAATCATTTAAAAAATCATTTTTAAGTGAGAAAAATCAATTAATGTCCTCTAGAATTTGAGTTTAATAAACGCTGTTGAAATAAACAAGGTATATATGTATCCTTCTGAACAAACCCATACAAAAAAACAAAACGAAGAGCCTGAAATAGCTAAGTTGGCTACTTGGCACTGGAGCACATTTTCCCTTGGAAACAATGTCCCAGATGTGGTGCTATTTTTCCTTAACATATATATGACACACAAAACATTTGTGGCTTGCAGTGAGGACACTAGATTGCCAAGATCAGATTTCCTATTACCAACCAATGCCCCTTTCCCTGACCCCTGCCTACACAGTTTATTTCGTGTGACTTTGTGGAATCCTTATTCCTTATATATATATATATATACACACACACACACACATATATATATAGTTCTTATTCTATATATATATAGAATTCATATATATATATATATATATATATATATATATATATATATATATAGTCTCCCTAACACAGCTGTGATGATTGTTGCTAGTTCTAACCTGCTGAAGTGTGAATACAGGGGTTTGGGGAATTTTTTGTTTAGCAGAATTTGAGGAAGAACCTATTCCTGACCAGTGATGGAAAGGAATGGTTGTTTCCATATAGGGCAGGTCTGTAAGCTTATATCGTCTCTGTTTATATATTGTCTGTGCTTATATGTACTATCATCTTTTCTATTAATGTTTTATGACCTTAATTAGAATTCACCCACTGAGAATATTTAGATTCCTACAGTTATAGCAAATAAAGACTTAATACTTCAATGAAAATTTGCTACTTATCCATATTAAAAGTCAAAGCATTTAAATGATTATACACTACAGTATAATGTATCTGAAAAAAATGTTTTTTAAATTTGAAGTAAATATGACCTCACATTAATATTAGTAATTCTTATAGGAAATGAAAATGACTCTTGAATGAGTAATTTGCTCAAGTTGTTATTATAGACCAAGCATATTATCTGTATATTTTGGTGTCAGAATATTAACTAATAGTTTAAGATGTATGCATAGATTGCATAGTGAAGTTTCCTATATGCTGTATTTTAAATATCAGGGTTTTTAAAAGATTACTCTCTGGCTATACCATCCTATTAACAGCTAAAAGCTATACTATGTACTAATACTACAATAGTAAATATTAAAGCTATACTAATAAATATTTACATTTCTTACATTTCTTAATGGCTAACTTTTTTCAGAACAACATATTCGAAAAAATATTGAAAATTTTGCAAGCCTGTATTAAAACTCAGGACATCACTTTAAGGTTAAAAATTCTATTTATATCAAAACGCAACTTTATTGTAATTTTACTTTCCTGGCTTTAATGGAAGTAAACTCATCAATGATATTCTCATTAAAACAATTAATCATTTAAAAATACATTAAATAGCACAGGAAAATATACTGAATATTATGTAATAACTTATAAGGGAAAAGAATCTGAAAAAGAATATATATACACACACATGTGTAACTGAATTGCTGTGCTGTGGCTTCCTCCTGCAATGCGGGAGACCTAGGTTCCATCCCTGGGTTCAGACAATCCCCTGGAGAAAGGAACGGCTAACCACTCCAGTATTCTGGCCTGGAGAATTCCATGGACTGCATAATACATGGGGTTGAAAAGAGCTGGACACGGCTGAGTGACTTTCACTTTCATACCTAAAACTTACCTGTGGAGTGCTCAGTTGCTCAGTCATGTCCGACTCTTTGGGACCCCATGGACTGTGTGGCCTGTCAGGTTTCTCTGTCCACAAAATTTCCCAGGCGAGAATACTGGAATGGTTTGCCATTTCCTACTCCAGGGGCTCTTCCTGAAACAGGGATCAAACCTGCATCTCCTGCACTGGCAGGCATATTCTTTAACACTGAGCCACCTGGGAAGCCCGTCTTAAACTTACACTATATTGTAAATCAACGATGATTAAAAATTTTAAAAAATAAGTGAAAATAAAAATGACTATTCTACAATAAATAAATACATAAATTAAAAATACATTAAAAGGGATACAGAGGGGTATATATTTTGCCTTTTGCCTCTGGCTCCAAAATGGCTAGGCATAGCATTATTGGATCCTGTTTCTATTTAAAATGTTGATATCTTGTTCATCATTGGTTTTTCCATTAATGTTTCATTTTAGAAATATTTTATTATTTATTTTAATTACTTAATTTATTGGGTGCCTCTTTAAGTTTTGCACCAAAGACAACTGACTCCTTTGCCTCAGACTAGTCTCAGCCTTGTGAGGGACACAGACAATAAACATTAAATATAAAACACTGGTAAGTTATATAGAAAATTAGAAAGTGAACAGCCCTGGTCAAAAAGAATAAGTAGAGCAGGGCAAAAAAAAAGGGAAGATAAAAGAGGGAGTACTGTTCGGTTTTAAATGGAATAATCCAAATACACATCTAAGAAAACTAACAATTCCTTAATGTCAACTGATATCTAGTCCATATTCAAATTTCCCCTATTGTCCAACTGTCCTCAGAATATTTTTTCAATCTAGAATCCAATCAAGGATAACATATGCATTTGATTCTCATATCTTTTTTATTTTAATTGAAGTACAGTTGATTTATAATTTTGTGTTAGTTTCAGGTGTAAAGCAAAGTGATTCAGCTATTTTTTTTCAGATTAAATTCATCTCACACGCTAGCAAAGTAAAGCTCAAAGTTCTCCAAGCCAGGCTTCAACAGTATGTGAACTGTGAAATTCCAAATGTTCAAGCTGGATTTAGAAAAGGCCGAGGAACCAGAGATCAAATTGCCAACATCTGCTGGATCATTGAAAAAGCAAGAGAATTCCAGAAAAACATCTACCTCTGTTTCACTGACTACACGAAAGCCTTTGACTGTGTGGATCACAACAAAGTGTGGAAAATTCTTAGAGAGATGGGAATACCAGATCACCTAAATTGTCCCTTGAGAAATCTGTATGCAGGTCAAGAAGCAACAGTTAGAACTGAACATGGAACAACAGACTGGTTCCAAATAGGGAAAGGAGTACATCAAGGCTGTATATTGTCACCCTGCTTATTTAACTTATATGCAGAGTACATCATGAGAAATGCTGGGCTGGATGAAGTACAAGCTGGAATCAAGATTGCTGGGAGAAATATCAGTAACCTCAGACATGCAGATGACACCACCCTTATGGCAGAAAGCAAAGAACTAAAGATCCTCTTGATGATAGTGAAAGAGGATAGTGAAAAGGTTGGCTTAAAACTCAACATTCAGAAAACAAAGATCATGGCACCTGGTCCCATCACTTCATGGGAAATAGATGGGGAAACAATGGAAATAGTGAGAGACTTTATTTTGGGGGGCTCCAAAATCATTGCAGATGGTGTCAGCAGCCATGAAATTAAAAGACACTTGCTCCTTGGAAGAAAAGCTACAACCAAACTAGACAGCATAGTCTAGTTGGCAGAGACATTACTTTGCCAACAAGGGTCTGTCTAATCAAAGCTGAACTGTGGTATTGGAGAAGACTCTTCAGAGTCCTTTGTACTGCAAGCAGATCCAACCAGTCCATCCTAAGGAAATCAGTCCTGCATATTCATTGGAATGACTGATGTTGAAGTTGAAACTCCAATATTTTGGCCACCTGATGCGAAGAGCTGACTCATTTGAAAAGACCCTGATGCTGGGAAAGATTGAAGGCAGGAGGAGAAGGGGATAACAGAGGATGAGATGGTTGGATGGCATCACCGACTCAATGGACATGAGTTTTGAGTAAACTCTGGGAGTTGGTGATGGACAGGGAGGGCTGGTGTGCTGCAGTCCATGGGGTTGCAAAGAGTCAGACACGATTGAGTAACTGAACTGAACTGAGCGTCCAAGAAGTGAAGTTTGAGTAAGGCATTAAGTATGACTCCAAGGTATTTGGCCTCATATGTTAAAAGGATGGATTTGCCATAAACTGAAGTGGGTAAGGTCATGGTTAGTACAGGTTTGGGTTGCGGGGAGAAGTATAGTTCAGTTTCAAACATGTTTAGTTTCTGCTGTCTATTGGTCATCCAAGTGGAGATTTCTTTCTTTTTTTTTTTTCCAAGTGGAGATTTCAAGTAGGCAGTTGACAACATCTGTCTGGAGTTTGGGAAAGAGGGTTGGGATGGGGATATAAATTTGTGAATACTTAGCATAATGTTGGTATTTAAAACTACTAGATTGAATAAGATCACAAGGAGTGCAAACAGAGAAGAGAACAAAGAGCTGACCCCTGAAATTCCCCAGTATCAAGAGATCAGGAAGAAAAATAACACCTAAAAGAGAAGACAGAACAGGGACTTCCTTGGTAGTCTGGTGGCTAAGACTCTGTTCTACCAATGCAGGGGGCCCAGGTTCGATCTCTAGTCAGGGAAATAGATCCCATATGCTGCAACTAAACATCCTGTAGGCCTAAACTTCAGATCCCATGTGCTGCAACTAAGACCTGATGCAGCCAAATATATAAATAGTTTTTGAAAGAAGACTGAGAATGAACAACAAGGAATTATGTCAAAGAAGAGAGTGATCAATGGTGTCAACTATTGTGCACATACAGATCAAGCCTGTGTGGGATAAGAATTAAACAATAGCTTTAGTAATGGAAAGGCGAACAGGGCAGTCGGTTTTGGTGGAGTAGAGGAGTGAAAACTTGTTTGGAGTTAATTTAAAGAAAAAAATGGGAAGAAGGTACTGGGGTTTGAGAAAGTATGAAATAGTTGTCTAAAACAGTGGGACAGAAAATAAGTGGGAGGTAGAATTGTTGCCTCTTAGCAAAAAGTTCTACTTGAGATTCATGCTCATTAATTTAAAGTGAAAATAGTCCTTATGCTGGTATATTTTTCTCCAGCCATGTGCCAGTGTAGGTATACATGAGGAACAGATGAAGATTAACCAGGGTTTTTGTTTTGTCAAGGAGTACAATGAAATGAGAGGGGGTAACGAGTCAAAATTTTGTGCAAGAGAGTGATCAAGAATGCTCCATGATATTTAAGATAGCCAGAGAGGGTATCTTGAGAAACAAACAAACAAAAAAATATTATAGGGTCAATGCACTAGAGGTACCAGTATAATTGGGGTCCTTAGAGATACAAGATCTGTAATCAAATAATGGGATACAGAAAATTGGGTTCACAGTGGAGTTAGTATCTAATACTTTATATAATCCATATTTTTACTTTATCAAAACTTTTTAAACCAATGGTAGGTAGGTGTTTCTTATATTTTAGTACGAAAAGATTCTCTTACCTCTGATGAAGAAGGTCGACTTGGATTGAGGGACATATTCACCAATGTCTGAATAGGGTAATTATCAGTTGGAATTTTGTAGGGTTTTTTTTTAAAAATCTTTTCTTCATTTAGTATTTAATAAAGGTTATAACAGATGTTTTGTTTGGCTTGCTTAACTTATAGCATTTCACTCATTTCTGGTCTTCAATTTGTTCAAAAAGTAAACAGAAAAAAACAAAAGGCTTTAAAATAGAGTCAAAATGAAAACTTCGATAAGTATGCAATCTTATAATAATAATTTAAAACGATATACTACTGATAAATAGGGCTGGTAAATGCAAGGAAAATCATATATCCCATACAACTAAGGGGTAAATTATTAATACAGTAGACTTGTGACTAAAACTCTTTTTACTAAATAATTCATTTTCTCTAGATCAAAAATTAAGCTTAAATATATATAGCTTTTTACATAAAGTAGAAATACACTTTTGGAAGTAGAAGGATTAAAAATATAAAAATGACTGCTGCTATTCAGTCACTCAGTCATGTCTGACTCTTTGCTACCCCATGGACTGCAGCACACAAGGCTTCCATGTCCAACACTAACACCCAGAGCTTTCTCAAACTCATGTCCATCAAGTTGGTGATGATATCTAACCACCTCATCCTCTGTCATCCCCTTCTCCTCCTGCCTTCAATCTTTCCCAGTGTCAGGGTCTTTTCAAATGAGTCAGTTCTTTGCATCAGGTGGCCAAAGTATTGGAGCTTCAGCTTCATCATCAGTCCTTCCAATGAATGTTAGGACTGATTTCCTTGAGGATTGACTGGTTTGATCTCCTTTCAGTCCAAGGGACTCTGAAGAGTCTTCTCTAACACCACAGTTCAAAAGCAACAATTCTTTGGTCCTCAGCTTTCTTCATGGTCCAACTCTCACATGCATACATGACTACTAGAAAAACCAAAGCTTTGACTATACGGACCTATGTCGGCAAAGTAATGTCTCTGCTTTTTAATATGCTGTCTAGGTTGGATATAGCTTTTCTTCCAAGGAGCAAGTGTCTTTTTAATTTCATGGCTGCAATCACTATCTGCAATGTTTTGGAGCCCCACAAAATAAAGTCTGTCACTGTTTCCGTTGTTTCCCCACCTATTTGCCATGAAGTGATAGGAGTGGATACCATGATCTCAGTTCTTTTTCTTTAAAGCCAGTTTCTTCACTCTCCTCTTTCACTTTTCATCAAGAGGCTATTTAGTTCCTCTTCACCTTCTGCCATAAGGGTGGTGACACTTGCATATCTGAGGTTATTAATATTTCTCTGGGCAATCTTGATTTCAGCTTTTGCGTCATCCAGCCCAGCATTTCGAATGATGTACTCTGCATATAGGGGCTTCCCTTGTGGCTCAGCCAGCAAAGAATCTGCCTATAGTGCAGGAAACCTGGGTTCGATCCCTGGATTGAGAAGATCCCCTGGAGAAGGAAAAGGCTAACCATTCCAGTATTCTGGCCTGGAGAATTCCATGAACTGCATAGTCCATGGGGTCACAAAGAGCCAGACACAACTGAGTGACTTTCACTTTCATTTTCACTCTGCATGTAAGTTAAATAAGCAGGGTGGCAATTTACAGCCTTGACGTACTCCTTTTCCTATTTGGAACCAGTCTGTTGTTCCATGTATGGTTCTAACTGTTGCTTCTTGACCTGCACCCAGATTTCTCAGGAGACAGGTAAGGTGGTCTGGTATTGTCATCTCTTTAAGAATTTTCCACACTTTGTTGTGACCCACACAGTCAAGGCTTTGGTGTAGTCAATAAAGTAGATGTTTTTCTGGAACTCTCTTGCTTTTTTGATGATCCAGCAGATGTTGACAATTGGATCTCTGGTTCCTCAGCCTTTTCTAAATCCGGCTTGAACATCTGGAATTTCACAGTTCATGTACTGTTGAAGTTTAGCTTGGCACATTTAGTATTTTGAGCATTACTTTGCTAGTGTGTGAGATGACTGCAACTGTGTGGTGGTTTGAACATTCTTTGGCATTGCCTTTCTTCGGGATTGGAATGAAAACTGACCATTTCCAGTCCTGTGGCCACTGTTGAATTTTCCAAATTTGCTGGCATATTGAGTGCAGCACTTTCACAGTATCATCTTTTAGGATTCGAAATAATTCAGCTGGAATTCCATCACCTCCACTAACTTTGTTTGTAGTGATGCTTCCTAAGGTCCACTTAACTTCATATTCCAGGATGTCTGGCTCTCGGTGAGTGATCATACCATCATGGTTATCTGGGTCATTAAGATCTTTTTTGTATGGTCCTTCTGTGTATTGTTGCTACCTTTTCTTAGTATCTTCTGCTTCTGTTAGGTCCATACCATTTATAGGTGTATGAGGCTTCCCCTACAGCTCAGCAATAAAGAATCCACCTGTAATTCAGGAGACACAGGTTTAATCTCTTGGTTGGGAAGATCCCCTAGGGAAGGAAATGGCAACCCGGTACTCCAGTATCCTTGCCTGGGAAATCGCATGGACAGAGGAGCCTGGCAGGTTACTGTCTATAGGATTGCAAAGGAGTGGGAAACAGCTGACTAAACAATATATACGCATGTGGCAATTTATCAGTTAAGAATTAATGGTAATAATCTATAATAAATACAGCACACGGGTAATCATTAACTAGTATGCCAATTGGGAGACTACAACTTTCATTTTTAGTGGATGCATTAAAAATTTGATATTTTAATTCAGAACTAATTTTTGATTAACTGAACTCAAGACAGAGCAATCAAGACCTGCTTTACTATTAATATTATCCTAAGGTAAATTGGTCAAGGCTATGGTTTTTCCAGTGGTCATGTATGGATGTGAGAGTTGGGCTGTGAAGAAAGCTGAGCACTGAAAAATTGATGCTTTTGAACTGTGGTGTTGGAGGAGAGTCCCTTGGACTGCAGGGAGATAAATCCAACCAGTCCATCCTAAAAGAGATCAGTCCTGGGTGTTCATTGGAAGGACTGATGCTGAAGCTGAAACTGCAGTACTTTGGTCACCTCATGGGAAGAGTTGACTCATTGGAAAAAACCTTGATGCTAGGAGGGATTGGGGGCAGGAGGAGAAGGGGATGACAGAGGATGAGATGGCTGGATGGCATCGTCGACTTGATGGGCATGAGTTTGAATAAACTCCGGGAGTTGGTGATGGGTGCTGAGATTCATGGGGTCGCAAAGAGTTGGACATGACTGAGCAACTGAACTGAATGAAGTATGAATGAGATTAGTTAACAAAGCATAAAGGTCAAATAATTTTCACTACTACTAGGGAAGAGGAAAAAGAGACATTTATTGAGATACTTGTCATACTCTTTACATATAAAATTTCATTCAGAAAGACAATTCTGCGAAGTAGGCTTTATTATTTCATTTTGAAATGAGGAAACAGAAGCTCAGTAATGTGGCCTGCCCAGGGATACCAAGGTAGGAGACAGAGACAGAATTCAAACTCTGGTCTAGTTCCAGCCAAGTAAACTGTACATTCCTGTGAAGTGATTTAAACTGTTTTACAAGTTAGGTTTTGTTGAGATAGAGCACACGACACACAGATTTCTCACTATACAAAGCAACTGAAATGTATTAATGATGAAATTATGCACGTTTCTAGAAAATACTAGTGTATTCACTGATGGACTATACCAGCTGAACAAGAAACATTTGTCCTAAGTGCGTGACCTACGTTCCCATGTGTGAAACATGCAGTGTCTGAGCCTTCTTTGCTTAGTTCCATCCTACTATTTCTCCTGAAAGCTCCTCTGAAGGTCAATTTCAAGCATCAGGTAATAAGCTACAACTGAAACATAAAAGAGCAAACTTTCTCAAAGTTTTTATTTCTTAAAGTACAATAAACGTTTATCCACCAAATGAAATGGACAAGAAGAGATAAATATAATTTGTAGTCAGCACCTTGGCTTCTTCACAATCGTTTCTGAAAAAACGAGAGGTGAGAGGCGCCAGAAGCCAAACCTTGTGAAGACCCCCTTTTCTCTAGCGAACCAGCGCCCTCGCTGCCCGCCGCCCGGCTCCTCTCGGTCGGTTACAGACCTCGCGCCCTCCTTCACTCTCGGGGGTCTGTCGGAGGGAAGCCATCTGCGGAAGGGCCGCCCGCTGGACAAAAACGGGTCGCTGAGGGACGCGTCCCTAAGGGGACAAGGTGCCAGCGACTCAAGCCATACTTCTAGCTCCTACGCCTCCGTGCGGCTCTCCCTTCCCTTTCCTCCATCTCTGCCAACTCCGCCAGGGACACTGGAACCGCCTCGTCGTCCCGCCACCATGACTGTTACAAAGTCTCTCAACAACTGACTTCCCTCACCGACCCTCTTTGGAGTCCCTTTCGGGTCTCGCAAGATAACTACGATCTCTTTCCTTACCTCTCCCAACTCTGCCTCTCGGGAGAGGGAGGACGGAGAGGAGGGGCGTCCGTTCCAGTCGGCGTCCCGTAGCCGCCACGCCCACCGTCCGCTCCGCCCCTTCCCCCTCCCAACTCTCCCCTCACCCTCGGAAGCTCGCGCTCCCTTTCGGGTGTGGAGCCAAAACGGCGGGCGAGGGAGAGCGCGCATGCGCGTTGAGGGTGGAGCCGCTGGGTAAAGGACCGGAAACTTAAGAGACAAAGTTCCGAGCCTCACCCCCAGCCCCGCCGACTGGCCCAGCGGACCCACCGCAGACCTGCCGACGGCCCGCGGATCTGCTATCCTTTCGAGTGCGCCATGTCTGGTTCATCCAGCGTCGCGGCTATGAAAAAAGTGGTTCAACAGCTCCGGCTGGAGGCCGGGCTCAATCGGGTGAAGGTGAGCGGGGGCGGGTGGCCGAGGGGGAGGGGAAGGCGGGGAGGTGGCGGGTGGGATACTGCAGGCGAGCTGACGCGGCGGCCGCCACTCGCCCCTGGGGAGGACGCCGGCGCGGCGGCCGCGATCTCTGCCAGCTTTAGAGTGGTAGCGGCACGGGTCGGCGCTGTGGTTTGGGGGGCCGGTTAGTGCGCCCTTGCGCCCCAAGGCGGTCCCAGGCGGGCTGGCCCTGGATTGAACAGCCGCTTTCCGCATTCCGGCCCTCGTCCCTGTCTCCCTCCCTCGGCAGTACTCCGCGGCTGGGCTCCCCAAGAGCTGCGCCTCCGCCCGCGCCCTTCCCGGCCCTCGCGACCGTTTCCCTCGTTTCTTGTCACCGGACGGAGTTTTATCCGCCTTTTGATTCAGAACAGAAGTATTTTTTCATGTCAGAACTTTCCCAAATCCACACCCTTTAGTAGCCGAGCCTTACTTCCAGCTCCACTATTCACCGAACACACACTTGAAAACGAATTCCTGCATAACTTTAATTGTAGGTTAAAGAAGCCTGTTTTGGAAACGTTTACAGTGTCTAAGATTACCACTGGTGCCCTGCGCAAACTCGGAGAAAGCGTGCATTTCAGGGCATATCTCCTGGTCTGCATACCCGACAAAGTAATTAGGGTGGACCAGTGTTATTTATTTTGGCGTCTGGTTAGCATTGACCTTGTCCTGAGGTATTTACTTTGGGGAAAAGTCGTGTGTGCGTGTTGAAAGGACAAGCTGACGTTAACTGCTGTTCCAGGTTTCTTGATTTTTTAAATCCTGCGTGGATTGGCTTCTTTGTCGTGCACTCAGTTTACATGTGAAACGCTTACTGTAATTAGAAAAGAAACAGGGAAGGATATAAACCATGCTTGTGTTGAAAGAAACAGCCAGTTTCCAAGATGATTTGATTCTTCACTCATCACACTGGTTTTTACTTCCCCCTGAAGTGTTTCGTGTTGTAAGACGCTCTCTCTTTACCTATTTCCTTATGTAGAAATGCCAGGAACCTGGTTTACCCGGTTGTGGTCATTTCAAGAGGGAAGGGAAATTCCCATCAGTCTTGGGATGGGATTCCCCTCCCTTCGTGTCCTTTAAGTGCTATAAACTCCATTGCTGTGTGGAATCCATTTCTCTAATTTCCAGATTCTTACCTCATCCCAGTGATTTATGGTTAGCCTTGCCTGGATTTATCTCTGAAATCATTGTTATTATTCAGGTGTGCCTTCATCTTAGGTTGGAGTGGCCGAGGAAAGAAAAAAATGGGAAGGGGGGGGGTCAAAAAAAGGCTAGTTGAAAGCAGTAAGTGTTAAGTAGGGATATTTAGTCCTAGTCCAAGGAAAATGAATATACCCTGAGGGCTTTACCTTAAAAATCCTAGCCCTTGCAATAACTCTCCAGCGGAGTGCCTTTCTCCAGTACTAAAGAGGGTTTTGGTCAGAATCATTAAAGCCATCACAAGGGTTTGGTTATAGAAATCTCAAGTCTAAATGGCAGGGCTGTGTGTAGCAAGGAGGAAAGCACCTCACCTTGGGGGAATTTAAATGAACTTTTCTTTGGACATGTTGCAAAATGTGGTGAGTTAGATTTCATTTTGTGCTTCTGTTTTACCCGTGACTTTGCTAGATGCTTTTGTAGTGACACTTTACTTTTGAATTAGCACGAGTTTATTTTTTAAAAGCTTTTGTTTGAGTAGTTGATAGAAATTATCACAAATGCTTGACAAACTCCCCCAGTGTTGGTGACCATACACTTTGTTCCCAACCCAGGGCACTTTTGAGAGGGAAAGAGGCTCTGATAATTATGCCAGGATTATAGGGTTTCAACCTCTCTGATGGTTATTATAGTGCCTTAGGGGCTAGCAGCTTGTTTTGAGTTTTAAGCCTTTATCTCCACTCTCCCCATTGATTGGAATTCTTACTGGTTATTTTCACTAATGGTTCCTTGGCTGGATCTCTTGTCACATATCTCAATTTAAATGTCACCTTCTTGAAAAAACTTTGCCACAGGTCCTGATCTAACAAACTACTCTTTTTTTTCCTGCAGATCATCTTGTCTCTTTTCATCTGAACTGTTAGCTCTGTATCAGGGACCTGGTTTTTCTTACATATCCTCAGGGCCTAGAATTATATTAGGCACATAGAGGTGATGAGAAGTTTGTGAAAGGGAGTTTAAGCTGGAGTCTGCCTACATTTTGGCAGAAAATTAAGATTCTTTCTCATGTTTAAGCTCAGTCATGTCCTGAGCATAAAGTCACAAGTCTTTGTGACCCTATGGACTATAGCCCACAAGGCTCCTCTGTCCATGGGATTTTCCCAGCAAGGATACTGAGTGGGTTCCCATGCCCTTCTCCAGGGGATCTTTCCAGACTCAGATATCGAACCCACATCTCTTATGTATCTCCTGATGTATCTCCTGCATTGACATATGGGTTCTTTACCGCTGAGTCACAGGGGAAGCGCAGTAGATTCTTTACTGCTGGTTAATGTGAATGAATGAAACCATGTTATAAGATACTGAAAAATGATACCACCCTTCCCCCACTGTAGCTACACTTGTGAGGGGGAGCAGGGTGCACATTTCTTGTAGTACTTGGAACCCAAAACTACTTACACAGTTGCTAAATAAATTCATGAAACTCTTTATCCTGGGCTGGTGTATAAACCAAACATATAAGTAGATTCCAGAAGAGTTTAGATTCATCTCACGGTGATGGATCCGTTTATCAGAAGCTGTCATGTGCAGAAATTCTTTGTATAGAGAGCACTTGTGATGCCCTTAGCTCCCTTTCAGAGGCTAAATATTACCCAGCCAGATTGGACACCTGTTCTTATCCTTGTAGATAGTTAAAACAGAATAAAATAAATGATTGCCTTCCCCATCTTCCTAAACCACAATTCAAGAGTTAGGATACTGTATTTATTTGAGGCATCCTTTAGTCATTTATGTTATATATCTGAACTATTCAGTTTATTGTTTGGTGTCCTGCACCATGCCTTCACAGAATATACAAATAGTAGATGTTGAAGTTGGTATAAAGTTGTTTTAACTGTGAAACCACAGAAGTTCTCTTAAGTCCTGTTTGATTGGCTTTGTACATATATGAAAATTATTAAGTCACATTTAAGGCAGTTTCTTAAAGGCAGGCTGCTCAGTAAAGTTCTTAAATTGAAGTTTGCTAATAATTAGCCTTTCAGTCACATGTCAGTGAGCAGAAACTGTCATTGTCCAATTTTGTAACAGAACAGCTGATGGTATGTAATACCAAGACACTCACAGCATTTTCTCAGTATACCGCTTTCAAGACAGAGTGATAGTTTACTGGCATTTTAATTTATCTTTACCCTATAATATCCTGTGTATTGCTTTTAATAAAAAAAAATGTTGAGTACCTTCATGGTTACACTAGAACATCCTGTTTTATTAGTAAACTAGCAAGATGTACTATGCTTTGCAGATAACAGATTTGTACTGTTCATGCTTGTTTTATTTACATGGAGTGTTTTGACTGTATATGATTGTGTATCAAACATATGTATATGTTGACAGCATATGACTGTTGATGAGCTTCCTAGTGGCTAAGTGGCAAAGAATCCACCTGCCAAGCAGGAGATGCAGGTTTGATCCCTGGGTCAAGAAGATTCCTTGGAGAATGAAATGGCAACCCAGTTCAATATTCTTGCCTGGACATGGACAGAGGAGCCTGGTGGGCTACAGTTGATGGAATTGCAAAAGTCAGACATGATTTAGTCAGACACAATTTAGCCACCAAACAACAACAGTATGACTGGTGACCTTCAATTAGCATATATATTTTTTTGAGTTAAGTGTTTATTGGCAGATATTTTTATTAAAGATTTGAGAAAACTTTCATTAAAACATTGTTATCACCTCCCACTCCCTCCCCCTACCGCTTGTTATATGCAGGTTTCCCAGGCAGCTGCAGATTTGAAACAGTTCTGTCTGCAGAATGCTCAACATGACCCTCTGCTGACTGGAGTATCTTCAAGTACAAATCCCTTCAGACCCCAGAAAGTCTGTTCCTTTTTATAGTAAGATGAATCTTGACAAGGTAAGTTTCCTTAAATTAAAACAACAAAACTCCATATAGTAGGGATAAGTAGACAAGTTTCTTTCTTTGTAGCACTTTATAAGTTGAGCAAGATCTCAGCATACTTTTGTTTTGCACTTGGATTTTCCAGTCTTTTTTGTTTTGTGAAGATTGAGGAAATTTGCTGATTTAGTAATCATGAAGACTAGTTGTTTCTATTTTACCAGAGGGTTAAGTAGAGGATTTAATAACCAGAAAGAAGATATAGGGGTTACTAGAAAATTTCACTATTGTGACAAGCCATGTTAACCCTTTATAGTATTGCCTAATGGTGTACTCTGGTGTCCAAATACTAATTTTTTTGTACCTAGAAAATATTTAGACATTTAAATCTGCTGTGTTCATGGTGGTGACTTTTAACGTACTGTCAGTGGATTTGGATTAATTATGATCTACTAGAATAGCATAGAAAAGAATTGAAGTAGTGAGTGCAAACTGAGGAGATAGCTGCATAAGCTGACATAGTGCAGGCATTTGGAGTTGGGGACAAAAGGTTTTAACTTTACTCTTTTTAGGTAAAGATAATGAGAGGGAAATGAAGTATGTAAGTTTATGGTGGGAGACGGTTGGTTTTCAGAGGATTAAGAAACTAAAATTTGGGTGGGTTTAAAGCATACTTCTATATGTTAACCTGTACCTTGCAAAACAGATGTCAATATGTGTAAAAATGTATAATGTTAATCCACAAGAGAGGTGGCCAGACAACATGATGTGTGGATAATTGAAAATGGACTCTAACGGTACTGCCTTCATGAAGCCATAGGACTTTAGTCAGAGCATTTATTTGTTATAAAGACAACTCTGTGTATCATACACACCCTCTGCAAATATTCTGACTCCTCACAGTGCAGGAAGCTGCTTCCTAAAATACCATGTTACATAGTTGTGCCCTCCCTTATTAAATTTAGTAGACTTGGGAGTGTCCAGGAAGTCTGTATAAGTAACAACATGTCTCTAATAAATACCATGATTGGTTGAATTGGTTAAGGTTTTTCAAACAGAGGGAAAAAACCACCTTTGAGTTCAAGGAAGTAATTCTTTTCAACATTCAAGCACCTTCATATTTAACAGGTAAAGGTTTTTTGCTTCTGGCAATTTTGAGAAATTCAATATTATGGTTCCTCTTGTATTTTCCTCACAAGTTTATTTTCATTGAAAATACTGCTAAGTGTGGCTTCTTAACTGGCTGTTCATAGTTTCATTTCATAGAATACAGATCAGTGCCTAATTAACTTGACTCTGGTTGGGATAAGAATCCAGATTTCAAAGTAAAATAATGGCTGTTAATCCTGGCAGTATAATAAAAACCCACAGGTTTATGAATATTATGATTTGAAGCACTCTTGGCTAGGAAAAGTATTTGGATGGAAAAGCATTTCTTCTCAAACATGAATGTAGCTACAAATCACTTTGTTGAAATAAGAGATTCTGAAACAATAGGTCTGGGACATTATGCTGATGGTGGTGGTCCTTGGTACACTGAGTGGCATGGATGCAAAACATCTGTATTTAAATCTGTGCTTAAGTCTTTACACTCATAACTTTTAAAAATACATATAACTTACAGCATAGATATTTTAGCAACAAATAGTCCAAGGTATTAAAATAGAAGTTACCATGATTTGCACACCTAGAAATAACCACTGTTAACAGATGTTTCCTTTTAAGACAAAAAAAAAAAAATAAAAATCATCGAAAAATGATTATAGTATGCAGTTTTGTTTTTTTGAAGTTGAAATTTCTTGTTTCATTTAATAGTCTTTGTAAATTCCCTGGTGGTCAAGTGCTTAGGCTTTGGTGCTCTCATTTAATAGTTTTTGTAAATGAGATTTTTCTGTGGTTGTACTATAACTTAAATTATACTTCATCAAATATTGAGGTTTCCAAATCTGAGGCTACACTGAGGTGAACATCTTGGTACCTATAAGTATACTCTACCCATTTCTTTAAAATAAACTTCTGGAAGTAAGTTATTCAGTAAGGAATGACATTTAAAATTTAATAACGTTGATAATATTGCCAAATTAAACTCTGCTGTTCCACCTGGAGCTTAAGAGTACTTTTGGCTGAGCCCCTGCCAAACAGATCACAGATTGTTTGCTACTATTTCCTGCCTATCTCAGTTTTGTAATTTGCAAAACTTGAGGCTAAACATTTTCACCACTGATTCTGTTTATGCTTCTTGTAAAACTTTCTGTAATGAAGTAACAGGAAATTTTAAATCACTATAAAAAACCAATTATCTGCTACCTGGAATTAAATGGTTTACCTTGTTAGCTCTGAGCTGTGCAGCCCATGGATCTCAGTCCCCAGCCAGGGAGTGAACCTGCTCCCTTGGCAGTGAAAGACCAGAGTCCTAACTACTGGACCTCAAGGGGATTCCAAGCCTTGTTAATTTTTATAAAGAAATAAGATACTTTTTCTACCTTTCCAAATATATAACTTACCCTGGAGTTGTTATGCCCATGTATTTATTGTTTTATAGTTCTAAAACCCAGCTGTTGTTTTTAAAGAATAACTATTAATGCATTATTTTTGAGATTTGTGTTAATCCATAGATTGTTTAGTCATTTTAATTGTTGTATTGTATTCCATCATGTTTATAAACCTTAGTTTACTTATCCATTGTCCTACTGAGTTGCATTTCTTTGCTATTAAAACACTACTATAGTCAATATCTGTGTGTATAGATTTATGTGGGTAAACAGAAGTGACTGCATCTTGCTCTCAGTTGTTGCTCATTTTTTAGAAGTGCTCAGATATCTCCCATCATGAGATTTTTATATTAACCTTTTTAAAAATTGGAATCCCCAGAGAGTGGTTTTTTTTTTTTAATGTATTGGCAAGTTACTCTTTAGGTCCTTTCATTCACGCATTTTCTATGCCGCCCCTCTCCGCCCCCCAAAAAAACCAACTGGGATGTGATTTTTTTTTTTTTTTAAGAAAAAAAAAAAACAGGCTTAGTTTAATTGAAAGTACTTTATAAGCTTACATTATTTAAATACCCTAAAAGTGATGTAATGTAAGATGTACTGCTACTCATAAAAAAAGCTATTGTTCTTATGATACTTTACCCTAATTCACTTTATCTTTTTCCATTTCAGGTTTTCCAAACCACTTTTCATAAACCAGTGAATATTCAAAGGAAAGCTAAATTTGAAGCCTGTACAAAAGCCTCTCTGTAACGTGCCATACTACACAAACTTCTACTTTTGTCAGTCCTTAATGTCTACCTCTATGAATATTCTTAATTTTCTGTTTCACAAGGGTAATTATTTTATATACACTGATGGCAGCATACAATAAAATACTTAGTATAAAAGTTTTATGTATTAATTTGTTTTGTACACTTAAAAAATGAAAATTTCCCCATCATACTTTTGATTAAATTTTTAATGTTCTAACAACTCATCTCACATAACTTTATGCCATGTATTTACAAGATTACTAGGGAATTAAAGACTGCAAAGTAATTCTTTTAAGGTCAGGAGAAGGCTGCTAGTAATACTAGGTTTTATTTGTGAGTTATTTACATGGTTAACTTTGTTTTCTAATAAAGCCCTTTGTTGGGTGTTACTTCATATTAGGTGGCGCTCCTAATAAGGATAGTAAAGACTAGACATAATTCCATTTTAAGTTGTGAGAAACATTCAGAGCCTGAATTAATTCCTGAATGGAGCGCTACAGTACAATGTAATGAGGTAAAGAAATACCAAGGAAAAAAGGAACCAAAAGCAAGTATCAATAATTTGCAACTTTTGCTCTTAAGTCCTTAGCAAACCATCTTGCTTTAAAACTTTTTACCCTTCTTGAAAGGCTTAAAGAAATGTTAAAACATCTTAGAAACCTGGCCCCAAATATGTGTTTTCAGGAAACAGAATTCAAACTATGAATACTAGTCTGATAGAAAATCAGTAGGTTACACAGTATCTACCAAGCACTGTGTTTCTCAGCAGCCCACATGTTCCATGAAAGTACAAATGGCAATGTTAGTTTGAATCTTGATTCCAGAGTATTCCAGTTACCTAAAAATAAGGGAATTAGATTTTAGGAAATTTACAAACTCTTAACAAAATGACCTTTTTATTTGCTACATAAATAGTGGTAAGTCATGGCACTTGATACTTTGTTCAGACATGAAAGAAGGTTTATGAAATCAGTAACTGCCATTTTGAAAAGAGTCTTGTTTCATAAACTCAAGACAGGCCTGTTCAGCACAGTTTAATACCATCCTCTCAGTCCTTTATAAATGGAATTTTCTTCTACTTGTATCCATTTCCCGGGGCTGGAAAAAAAAAAAAAGTTAACATTCTGTAGGTAATAGCACAAAATACTCTTGGTTTGTCTCTGAGACTAAATTTATCTTCAGGTCTGTGTTGTGTGTGTATATATATAATTTCAAAGTCATGCTTATGTATTTTAAAGTATTATTTTCATTTATAATTTAAAATGAACTTCAAACTTTTCTGCAGCAATAATTCTCAAGCATGCAGCAGAATCATTATAACACAGGTTTATAAACAGACTGCTGGCCCACTCCCTAAGCTAGTGATTGAGCAGGTCTGTGACCCAACAGTTTGCCATTGTAACAAGTTCTTAGGTGATGCTACTGGTCTACCTTTCAAACCACTGATCTTTAGGGATGTTTCAGGTGAACCAAGATTAATCTCTAGACCAGAATGTTGTATCAGAGATTAGTTCTAACTCATGGGAATAAATGCACAAGCATAACGTAAGGTATAAACACTCAAAAGTTTAAAGTGCAGGGTTTTATTCTCATTCCATCCTTTTTAAAACTGCCTAAATGGCTTTTCATAGAGTAAACACATACCTTATGGACCCATTCATATTCTCCATATTTAGAATCAAAGGTTCCTTTCTGAAGAGATCTTAATTTTAAGGTAAAACGTGGTCCAAGTTCCTGAATTCCCACTTTCTTTTCACTCTTGAATATGTATCTTAAAGATAAAAAAAGAGTTAAGGAAATTAGTCTGAATGAACCCAACTATTACTTCTTTAATATGTCAGTTTTAATTTCTCATCTACAATACTTGTCAGAATACACTGGGAAACAGGTTTATGTAGAAAATATGTTTCATAATTGAAGTCATAGTCCAAGGAGTTGAAGTACTTTCCTCACCTGTGAAATCTGAAGAAGATATAATCCCGTTGATTGTGGAATGTGGCAACCTGCCTTCCAATAAACTGAGGATTATGGGGAAAGAGAGATGCGAACATACGTCCAATAGAATGACCCAGTCGTGTTGTAAAATTGTTCAAAATTATTTCTGGTATGTGTTCTGTTGGGTCTTTGCCTCTTCTCTAGAAAAATGAAAAATCACAACAAAGTGGCAAAAATACATCTCATTGCAGTTTCAAGTTTTAGAATTTACATGACATTGAAACATTTTAGTTATCTTAATGACAAATTACTATAGATAGCTTAATCAAACCCAAGAAATAAGATGTATCTAAAATTATGTAATACACAGTGAACACCAAAAAGAAAGTGCTACTATAAAGTGACATGTTTCATAGTCATGGAGGCTGTTGCTTGTCTCCTGTAACTATTATAATCTCACAAGAACACCATAGATAAAATACCAATTTTAATCAGAAGAGCAAACAAAATTATTAAAAATCAATTAGATCGGGCTTCCCTGGTGGTCCAGTGGTTGAGAATCTGCCTGCAATGCAGAGGACACCAGTTCAGTCTCTGATCTGGGAAGATGCCACATGCCGTGGAGTGGCTAAGCCCAGGCGCAATTACAGAGCCTGTGCTCTAGAGCCCTTGAGTCACAGCTACTGAAGCCTGTGTGCCTAGAGGCCATGCTCAACAAGGAGAGAAGCCACTGCAAGAAGCCAGTGTACCACAACTAGAGAGAAGCCCCTACTCACCACACAGCATCACAAAACCAACCAGCACCCCCCAACCCCTGCCCCTGCCACATTAAATCAATTATAGGTTATAGCATTTACTAACCAGATACTGTGAGGAGACCCATGCCAGTCAAGGAATGCATAAAACTCACCTTAATTTCTTTACGCAGACGAACACTGCTCATTTTAAAGTGAGCAGTTGGGCCGTTGGGCAGGTGACTCAGAATTAATCCATCTGTTCACAAAGCTAAGAACACAATGAACTCTGTAATCTAAACCTTAAATTGTTTAAATAACTAGTCCTTTGTATGCCCGAAGGCTCCTAAAATCTGTAGGTAATTCAACTATTAGGTGAATAGGTGGGTGCATGTATTCCTTTGACTTGATTTTCACACCATACCCCAAACTCAAAAGACATAAATCAACCTGAATCTTTCAGAAAGACAGATTATGTTAAGCACTGAAATGAAGTAAGTGAAAGAGCTAAAATCCACTACTCTAATACAGGAATAAGGATAAGATTCTAGCATAACTGTAGCACCACAAATGGAATGTAAGTTTACCTCCATGTTCAGATGCTTTATAACCCTTAAAAGCACACTTTCATACGTCTGTATATACATTTCATACATTTGTAAGGCCAGGATATGCAGTTTTGAATATCCCATAAGACCAGATACTCAAACTATCTTCTGGAAATCAAGGTTACTAGTGTTCTTAAGAGACAAGGTCTTAATTCTTAGGATTACTGTACTACAGTTTAAAATCAACCAATTAACCACTTACTGACCCTACCACAAACAGAATTCGGCTATACACTCTAAATTAGAAATGAAATATAAGACAACTACCTACAATCAAGGCTAGCTGTCCAAGGGCTTTAAAAGTTTGGAATGCAGCTCAAGCCTTTGTAGCACAACTTGATTCTTTCAAATACTTAACCTTAAAAGGAGGTCAGAACTAGACTTTTTTAAGTATTTGCACACAATATAAGTTTTATAAAACATGTTGCCATCTTTAAAAGACGTCAACATTCTCCCATTCATCTATTAAATTAGAAACTATGGTGGTTATCATCTGCAACTTCCTTCTCTCCCACCACCAGATCCTGTTTATTGCTTCTACCTTCATAAATTCCTCACTTTTATAGCTGCCTCTTTTACCCCAGGTGTTATCCTGTTTATTGCTTTTACCTTCATAAATTCCTCACTTTTATAGCTGCCTCTTTTACCCCAGGTGTTATTGTATTATTTGAGGTCCTTGAGATTTTTTCACCCAGATTAGGAAAACAGTATCCTCCTTGGTCTGACTTCTCTTTCACCACTTCAAGTACATCTGTCTCCTAATACAGACTAATCAAGTTGGCTTTAGGCCTTGGTTCTGTAAGTAGTAAGCTATGAGACTTGGATGTGCCATTGTATTTGTAGTTTCTCATAGCTTCTTATGTGCTAAGTGAAAAACTAGATGCCTTGAGAGTTTTGCCAGCTACAGGTAATTTCAAACTACTCTCACCACAGACTCATCTACAGATTAAAAAATCAGCATAGCACTCATACTGTGGCTCCGCACTCCCCTTTTATTAATAACCTCCTGTCTCTACATCTTGTTTCATAACTGGGAGACACTGACAGCCTCTCTAATACACCATAAACAATCCTATCATGTGCTTTTTGCTTATGCTATTTCAAGTATCTACAATATTTTACTCATCCATTAAGGCCTGCTTCAAATGCCATCTCTTTTTACACTCAAGCTCTAAATATTCTCAGCTCTCACTGTTACTATAGCACTTGTCATTTGAGTTATAGTTACACAAATGCCTTTCTTCCCAATGAATCCGTTAACTCTAAGATATACTTCTGACAGATACTATGCCTACTACACAGCAGATTATCAGTAAATGTTTGAATTCTTTCCTTCTCTTCAAGGTTTGGCTATACTCATGAGGTACAGCCAAAAAAAAAGTATTTCTGTATCATTTGCACTACAAAAAAAAAAAAAAATCATAAAATCTTAAGGGGATTAAGAGAAACAGAAGTCATTTAACCTAAATGAAAGCTTGACTCTTTTCTAGAAATTTCCACTAAATTGTGGTTTGTGTCAAAAGAAACTACAAAATCCAAATGTATCTATTCCTAAGTACCTGCACTGTACAAAAGGCATTACTTATGTTATTGCTCATCTCTAACACAAACCACGCCACATAGGACTCATCCTGATTTTTAGTAATGATTTTAGCAACGAAGAGTTTGAGAAGGGTCAGGTAGATTCATTCAAGTGCTACATGGCATATCTAAACTGGGTGGGATTACACCTGAGTCCTAGACCTTAGCTGGTAATTTGCAGTCAGAAATATATAGAGGCATTTTGTTACCACTAATGTGAAAGTTATTTTGTTATGACCGACTCAAAGGCCAGGAATGTAAAATACCCTATATAAGCTGCCAAGAGCACAAAGACTTATCCTACCCTCAAATTTCCATTTAGAAATAAGGAAGAGGAAAAAAGTGAAAGTGAGGAAATACTGCCTGCCCCAAAACAGAGGAATAAAAGTCTTGAAATCTCATTTGGGGGGGTGGGGGGTGGGGATGACATGTTTTAAAAAGGCAGGGATCAGTATCTTCAAAGCATATCTCTTCTGGAATAGATTAAGTATTCAAGAAACTTTTTCCCCTAAACTCACAATCCAGCCAAATTATAAAATGACTAACAACACAAAGCTAGTTTAGTCTTAAAAGTCTCTGAAAAGCAAGTGGTGCAAGGGGATACTTGGAGAAGGAAATGGCTGCCCACTCCAGTCTTCTTGCCTGAGAAATCCCATGGACAGAGAAGCCTGATGGGCTACAGTCCATGGGGTCGCAAAGAGTCGGACACGACTGATCAAGTGGATGTCTTTAATTAACTTATACTGAAAACAATAAACACCATAAAAGTTATTTAGATGGAAAAAAATAGCTTGTAAACCATTATTTTTTAAAAAGCAGTGTTCGTTGATTTTTTAAAATGTTATCCTGGCAGCACGGAAGTACTATCCCCATTGTTTATAAATCCTTAGTAATTTTGTTTTGATAATTTTGACATTCAGTTGGTCATCTTTAAAGTTACTGAGTTCACAGGCAATAGGTAAGTAAAACAACATCAATGACAAAAACAAATCTAGGCATCCTTTATATGATCTTTTATCTCAAAACAGGAAGAAATACCTAGGGTTGAGGTAACACATTCACCTTGGATCTAAGACTTGCAGTAAAAGCATGGGTTATTCTTGGTATCTGAAACACTAGTTGATACATAATATGGGCCAAATAGCTACTTCAAAAATGCAATCTGTGACACCACTTCTGGCAACACAAAATCTAGCCATATCAAAATAGTTGCAGATCCCAACTGGGAGAGCACCTTCATGCCTCTATATTTTCAAATGGTTATATTTTTGCAATAGGTATTCTTTCTCTGCCTTACCTCATTCTCCCATACCCACCTAGACAGGGTTTAGGCATCTTTTTCTGTCAAGTACTTCTTCCCTAATGTCCCCAAGGCAGATTTTTACCAAAGGTTGTACTGTATCCTGTATTTCCTATATAATTGTACTATCGACACAATATTTTTGTTTGTTTACATATCTATTTTATCCTACTGGATTATGAATTCCCTGAAGCTGACTTTCTCGTTTACCTTTTACTAACAAATAATGTCTTGCTTATAGCATGTGCTTAACAAATGCTTGCAGAGTGAAAAGGAAAAATCAGTTCAGAGTCTTGAATAGAGATATATAACTCTCTGGTTGAAAAAATTATGTTCTAAAAGTTACAGGAAAACATTTTCTTATTTTTTCAAATATATCTTAAGAGAGGGTGAAGGGGAGACAAGAAAACTCCTTAAAAAGAACAAAGGATACTTGGTATCTTACGATCTTCATTAATAACAATCAGGTCTGTGAAATCTCTTGAGATGCACTGTGGAATAATTTTTTTCAGAGCCAGTCCTCTTCTGTAATAAACATGCGAATTTGGTATAACTGTAGAGAGCTGTTCACAGAGTCGTACTGTTCTCTATAAAACAAAATAACAAAATCCTCAAAAATGAAAAAGAATAAAAATCTAAGCGGCATATATTTATAAGGAAAAGAAGTAATCATTACAGTTATTAATAGAGAGCAAAGCTAAGAAAGAATGAAATCCAAAGAGTTTCATCCTCCATGAAGGCTGATCTACCTAAAGCAATCATTCTCAACTAGGGACAATTTTGTCATCGAGGGATGTTTGGAAATATCTGGAAACATTTTTGGTGGTCATGACTGATGGTAGTGGTAGAAGCTGGCTGCTATGGGTATCTAGTGGATAGAGGCCAGAGATGCTGCTAAACATCCTATAATGAACAGGACAATCTGAACAATAAAAAAATCCAGCCCAAAATGTTTAAACAGTGTTGAGGCTGAGAAAGCCTATCATGAAGAATCACACTTGGTGAACCTACATCACATCACCAATACATTTTATTTAGCTTATTTACAGGCATTACCTAAGGCAATTACTAAAAATTTAACTCTTCTGAACGAAGTTATTTTAAATAATCTATGTAAGAAAATCAAGAATTTAAGAACTATAGTAATTGATATGTTTACCCCATGAGGTCTATCTGATGTAGTGATGAGAATCTTGGGAGAAGTTTGTCTATTGAAGTAAGAAGCAAATTCATCTGTAGCTTCATCATAAGCAACCTGAAAACGGAAAGAGAGGTCACTTTACATCAAACACTCTACTGGGCCAGCATTTTACAAGCAATTCTAGTAGGATTCTATTAACACTGGGTATCCACCTGACTCGTGATTTAAAGAGGGCCCAGGAGGGTCAGGTTAATGACAACATGAAGAGGTTGGATAATTTTATAGATGAAGAATACTAATGTAAAACTGGAGGAAAAAACTGTCAAAAATAATTTAAACAAATTGAGATGCATTCATTCTTGAAAAATGGATCCATTTGTGGGCAAGAACATCAAGAATCTTGCCTAGAGCTATTCCATTTCCCGTATCAACTTGGGTGGTAAAAAGAGTAATTTTATCAATTTCAGGACTAATGGTAAGCGAGAACCAGCAATCCTAGATGCAGAGGTGGTAGACCAGATTTGAGGACAGGCGGTGGACTTGGACTTGGACTTGGCTGTGCCAGTCCAAGGTTACAGGCCTAGTTCAGGGTAGGTGAGGACCAGCCAAAAATTTCAATGAGAGCTCTGGGAGTGAAAAAATCATAGACGAACTGACATAATCTCTCCCCAAATCCTTGACTGACAGCTAGGCTACATATAAGAGACACCTGAGAATCCAGTGTACATGAAAGACAAGGGAGACTTGAGAAATGGCTGCAGCTTTGAATGCATTCCTCAATCCACACACACCTCAGTTAGCAAAGGGTATGTATGTCTTGGGGGCCCAAGGTTTCACCATGCAACCTCTGCCCAAATCACTGGCTGACCATTAAGTCACACAAACAAATCTCTAGGGAGGAAGGTTAAAAATAACACAAACTGAGTAGTAGTGTAATGCTGCTGTCAGAGATTCCAGTTTAAGTCCAGACAAGTTACTAAAACAACAACAAAAAAATCAATAACCTGTAAAAAAAAAAAAAAAGAAGAACAAAGACAATCCAGAGTTACTGCAATGTTTTCTACAGGTGTCCAATTTTCAACCAAGGTATTAGATATACAAAGAAAAAAAAAAGTATGAAGTATAATCAGGAAACGAGAAGTCAATAAAACTGACTGAATGGGTCCAGATGGTAAATTTAGTGACAATTTCAAAGCCATCATAACAAACATATTCAAGGAATTAAGGAAAAATACAGGCTTTACAGTAGATCTAAGATGCAGGAGAATCAATAATCTTGAAAACAGATTAACGATCCAATCTGAAGGATGGAGAACACAATCATAGCAAAAAGAGTAAAGCTGCAGAAATTTTTAGGATAATGTTAACCATTTCAATAGTGTGTTAGAAAGGCAGTCCCTGAAGGAGAGAAGAGGGCAGAAATAAAAATATTTCAAGAAATAATGGATTAAAAACTTAACTGACAGGTCCAAACTCAACAAACATTAAGTAGAATTTAAAAAAAGAACAATATCTAAACACACCAGTGTCAAACTGGTAAAAGTCAAAAAACCAGAAAACTTTAATAAATCATGTGCAGGGGAAAAATGTAATGACTGGTTTCTCAAAAGAAAAAGTGAAGGTCAAAATTCAATGGAACAAGTTCAAAGAAAAAAACAGGTCAACCAAGGATTCTATATTCCACAAAATTTTTTTAAAAATAAAGGCAAAATAAACGCTTTTAAAAAGACAAAAACTGAGATAATTAGATCTCAGACTTGCTACAAAAACAAAGACATAAGAAAATCCTGCAAGCTGAAAGAGAATACTACTAGATGATCCAGAGGCAGGAAAGAAGAGGACTATAAACAGGTAATGATGAAGGTAAACATAAGACTTTGTGGGGGTGTTGTGTGTGTAAACTCTTAATTTTTTTTTTTTAAACATCAGGATGCTTAAAGAAGTAATTACAACACTGGGTTTATAACATAGACAGATACATAACAACATGTGCTGACAATTAACAGCATGAGTAAGAGTGGAGGTCACAAAGCTATACTGGTGCAAACTTGCTGTATTTTACCAGAATTGTCTCAGTATTTACTAGAAGTAGGTTGTGATAAATCATTCTCCAGAACAGATCTTATGCTAGGACATTTCTTCAATTGAAAAGGACTGAAATAAAACAAAATATGTCCCAGACCACAATTAAAACTGAACTAGAAATCAACAGCAGAAATCAGCAGAAATCAGGGAAATCCTCAAATATCTGGAAATTAAACAAGATACTTCTTGAAAATTGTAAGCCAAAGAAAAAATCACAAGAGAAATTAGAAAATATCTTCAACAGAATGAAAATGAAAACACCACAAACACACCAAAATGCATGGAAGGTGGTTAAAGCAGTGCTTGGGCGAACACCAGAGTTTTATATGCTTATATTAGAAACAAAAAATAAAATCAATAATCTAAGCTTCCATCTTAGGAAGCTAGAAAAAGAAGAGCAACTAAAACCCCAGGTAAGCAGAAATAAAGAAAAAATAAGGATGGGGGAAATTAATGAACTAAAAAAATACAGCAAGCAAGAAGAAATCATCTTTCATTAAGAGGTACTCAGATGTATATGATTAAAGAAATGCATCTTAAAACTTGTGGGCTATATATAGCAAATGTGAATTTTATGACCATAATTGCTCATCATAGAAAGATTAAAAATAAGTTAGTTAAGTAAACAAAAATAGAATAAAATCAGAGTATAAAAGAAATAATAAAGGTAAGAGGAGATATAAGTGAATTAGAAAACATTTAATAGAGAAATAAAAGAAAATAGTAACTTGAAGAGAATAACAAAACAGGTATGTCTCTGATGAAAAGCTCAAATAAACAAAAATAGGAATTAAAACAGGGTATTACTTCAGTCTCACTCATGAACATGTTCTAAACAATGCACTTAACAAACCAAAACAATATTTTAAGAAGACAAAACACCTTAACTAAATTGGACCTAACAGATGCAGAAGATATTAAGAAGAGGTGGCAACAATATGCACAAGAACAATAGAAAAAAGATCTTCACGACCCAGATAATAACGATGGTATGATCATTCACCTAGAGCCAGACATCCTGGAATGCATAGTCAAGTGGGTGTTAGCAAGCATCACTATGAACAAAACTACTGGAGGTGATGGAATTCCAGTTGAGCTCTTTCAAATCCTAAAAGATGATGCTGTGGAAGTGCTGCACTCAATATGCCAGCAAATCTGAAAAACTCAGCAGTGGCCACAGGACTGGAAAAGGTCAGTTTCCATTCCAATCCCAAAGAAAGGCAATGCCAAAGAATGCTCAAACTACCTCACAATTGCACTCATCTCACATGCTAGTAAAGTAATGCTCAAAATTCTCCAAGCCAGGCTTTAGCAATACGTCACCTGTGAACTTTCAGATGTTCAAGCTGGATTTAGAAAAGGCAGAGGAACTAGAGATCAAACTGCCAACATCCATTGGATCATCGAAAAAGCAAGAGAGTTCCAGAAAAACATCTACTTTTGCTTTGCTGACTAAGCCAAAGCCTTTGACTGTGTGGATCACAATAAACTGTGGAAAATTCTGAAAGAGATGGGATACCAGACCACCTGACCTGCCTCTTGAGAAATCTGTATGCAGGTTAAGAAGCAACAGTTAGAACTGAATATAGAAAAACAGACTGGTTCCAAATAGGAAAAGGAGTACATCAAGCCTGTATATTGTCACCCTGCCTATTTAACTTATATGCAGAATACATCATGAGAAACACTGGGCTGGATGAAGCACAAGCTGGAATCAAGATTGCCAGGAGAAATATCAATAACCTCAGATATGCAGATGACACCACCCTTATGGCAGAAAGCAAAGAAGAACTAAAGAGCCTCTTGATAAAAGTCAATGAGGAGAGTAAAAAAGTTGGCTTAAAACTCAACATTCAGAAAACTAAGACCATGGCATCCGGTCCCATCACTTCATGACAAATAGATGGGGAAACAGTGGAAACAGTGAGAGGCTTTATTTTTGTGGGCTCCAAAATCGTTGCAGATGGTGATGACAGCCATGAAATTAAAAGACACTTGCTCCTTGGAAGGAAAGCTATGACCAACCTAGATAGCATATTAAAAAGCAGAGACATTACAGTATTGCCAACAAAGATTCATCTAGTCAAGGCTATGGTTTTTCCAGTAGTCATATATGGATCTGAGAGTTGGACTATAAAGAAAGCTGAACACTGAAGAATTGATGCTTTTGAACTGTGGTGTAGGAGAAGATTCTTGAGAGTCCCTTGGACAGAAAGGAGATTCAACCAGTCTACCCAAAGGAAATCAGTCCTGGATATTCATTGGAAGGACTGATGCTGAAGCTGAAACTCCAATACTCTGGTTACCTGATGTGAAGAACTAACTCATCTGAAAAGACCCTGATGCAGGGAAAGACTGAAAGAGGGAGGAGAAGGGAACAACAGAGGATGAGATGGTTGGATGGTATCACAGACTTAATGGACATGAGTTGAGTAAACTCCGGGAGTTAGTGATGGACAGAGAGGCCTGGCGTGCTGCAGTCCATGGGGTTGCAAAGAGTTGGACATGACTGAACGACTGAACTGAACTGAAATAATACATATATGCTAAGACTTCCCTGGTGGCTCAGATGGCAAAGCATCTGCCTACAATGTGGGAGACACGGGTTCAATCCCTGGGTTGGGAAAATCTCCTGGAGAAGTTAAATGGCAACCCTCTCCAGTGACTCTTGCCAGGAAAATCCAAAGGATGGAGGAGCCTGGTAGGCTACAGTCCATGGGGTCGCAAAGAGTTGGACACAACTGAGCCATTTCACTACCTACATATATATAATTACATATATATATATATATATGTATATAGTGGATACACACACACACACACACACACACACACACAGGGTTGGCCAAGAAGTTCGTTCTGTAAAACATTCCATTAAGAAGGCACAGAAAAACCCGCATGAACTTTTTGGCCAACCCAATACTACCTAGATTCTGACACTGATTTGATTTAGTATGATTCATACTTTTATATGGAAGATGAAAGATCCATGAAGATAACACTCTTGAAGAGAGGCATTTGAGGACGAGGGGCATCTTTCCTTCACAGCTATCAAAACTTACCATGAAGCTAAATAATCAAGAAAGTAAAGAACTGATCCAGTAACAAGCTACCAAAAAAAAAAGACTCAGCACATATGGACAACTAATATATCACACAGCACTACAATTTACTATGAGAAAGACTGCACTACTTCAAAAATGGTGCTGGGAAACTGGTTATGGAGTGGAAGAAAGAAACTGATTTCCCTTCTCACCCTAATAAGAGAAATCCGTTTCTGATAATTAAGTACATGAATGTGTTTTAAAACCTTGACTCTTTCACTGTACTATTGCAAACTAAAGGGAAAAGTGAAAGATTATCTTGAAACCAAGAGTTTTATATGGACACACAAAAAAATACCATCAGATTACCTTAGTTGTCAAAATGTCTAACAAATACTACAAAAATCTATAGCAAAAATTTATAAAACAAGGACTGCTTTTCAAATGACATTAAAAAACACTGGAAGTATTATTGATTAAATGACAAATAAGTCTATCTGCATAAAATACCTTTTGAGAAAATAAATAATTATTGCCTTTTTATACAGCATTGTTGGAAAACCCAATTATGAAATAATCTTCAACAAATAATAAGATAATATGCCAGCATTATAGCTAAATCAATCCATTATACAACTTCACTAGCTAGTACTTTAAATTAAACACTGGCATAAGAACAGATAATTTATCAAATGTGATTATCCAAATTTATTTAAAACTTCTAACATTTACCTCTTCATCATTAGGATCTACTATGGTTTCATCATACACTCGCTGGTTGTCAATAGTCTTGGGTATAGGCTTTGGTGGAGCCTAAATAAAAGAAAAAAATGTTAAGTCTGGGAAGCATTTCACATTAATAATTTTGCATTATGCGTGGGGAAGAATAACAAAAATCTGCAAATAATGCAAAAACTCAATCTGTCCCTCATTCAACCCACTGCTACATCAGTCCTAGTAACCATAATACTGAGCAAAAGGCTTTTTAACTCTGAGCACACACAAGCACTTACTGGAAGAATTGCGGACAGGATGAAATGGCTTAAAGCCAGGCAAAAGTAGCAGAAAGAGAAGACAGAATTCAAGATGGTTATTCAAAAAGATGAAAAATATCAAACGTAACAGAAAAATTACAAAGGTACATATTTAGGTAGCTTTGTTCGAATACTTTCAGAAAGCTATTCAGAAATATCTAACAAAGGCTACAAATCTGTATCTTTCTGCTGAACTGGTAATTCTAGTTTAGAGAATTTATGGTAAGGAATGAAAAGGGGAGCAATTTATACAAAGAAATATGTATAATCACTATGGTTAGTGGAAATGAACAGTAAACAGGGCAAATGCCCAACAACAAGATAATGACTATGGCAGTGCCAACTTAATGGAATACCATTAGCATCAGCAATCACATACACTCAGCTTAGATCAAGAAACTGTGTAAATGAAATTTTAAGGAGCAAGAACACAAAACCATAACCATACACTGATTAATCTAAAATATATGTACACTAACAGAGATGAATATGACCTGACAAACTATTTAGGAATTCTTTTGTATTATTTTATGAAATGAATATTAAGTTTTAAGTAATTTTTTAAAAAGAGGCAGTTCTAGATCATCTATCAATCCAAAAACAAGAATGGTGATATTTTCAAATGGTGATCAGCATATTAATTTGCTGTAACTAACAGATTATTGAGTTAAAAAGAGACTAACACTGCTTGATATGATTTTGCAGGTGAAAACAGTCTTAAAGTTGGAATTTCCTGTGATTTAATCTAATACCATTCAAGAGAATTCATGAAAAAGTAGTATTTAGTTTGTATACACTATATGTATATAGTCTGTATTTTTCCCTTCCTCAAAAATGCTTATTATTACTTGGTACTCCATCTTAAGTAAAAGATGGGAGGAGGGGGGAGTTGAACATTTTTAAAATTTTGCACGTATAAAACGCAACCTAGAACTACAAATAAAATGAAAATGACTTAGCTGTGCAATAATGCAGAAGCATTCAATAGTTCTTTTAAAATTTTTCAATAGAAAGATTTCACTTTTTGTCAGTATCACAAAAACAGCTAAATCCTTTCTTGATGCTCTCTTCTTTGCCACAATCCACTCAGGTGTCTCACCTTCTTCCTACTCCCCATTCTCACTCTTCACAGGTTATATCCTCTGTCAGCTCTCAGGCTCACACATCCCAACCCTACAACAGAAGAGGCTCTATCATGCCCTTCTTCAGCCTAGCATAACAAAACGCCTTTGCTTCAAGTCTGAAGAACTCCAGTTACAGGCCTATGGTGGGGAGCTTCTCCATTCTCAGTCAGGGATAATGTGTCTCTACCTCTCAAACACATGAAGTTAAGTAAAATAAGCAAACTGGAAGTATATACACCACTTTGAAATTCTGAAAACATGCAAAATACCACTACTACTGTATTTACTGTTTATGCACACAAACATAATAAAGGAAATAAATAAACTGCATGGCAATAATAAAAAGCAATTTCATCAGTTATTGTCTTTTTTTTTGACCCTGCTTCAGAGACAAAAGGGATCTTAGTTCCCCAATTAATCGAGGATTAAACCCTTGCCTCCTGCAGGGGAAGTGTGGAATCTTAACCACTGGACTGCCAGGAAAGTCCCAATGAGTGGTTGTCTTTGGAGGGGAAAGCAATCAGAACATACCACACAAGAGACTTGAACACTATTTACTAATGCATAATTTCTTGAGTAAAGGATAGAAAGGGGTGTGCTGTATTGTTTTTATATCATTTTAAACATTCAAAATATTTCATAATAAATTTTAAAATAAAATGATTCAATGTAAATATCAGGGAACATTCCTTAATACAAGATATAAAGCAGAGGACTAAAAATTTTATTTACCTTATCACCAAGAGCTTCTCTCTCTTTTTTAAGTTTTTTCTTAGCCGCCAACTTTTCCTAAAGGATTTAAAAAAGAAAAGAACAATATTGAGAAACTACTAGTTACATAGCAAACACATAATGAAATTACTAATGCTATGAATATTTAAACTGACCAGTCTTAGAACTGAATTAAAATAAACATCCAGACTTAGATGTTCACACCTAAGTAATTGTAAACCAGATGATCTTGCTCCCTCAAAATAATCTAAATGGACAAGTTTGAATATTCAAAATTTCATTAGCTTTATCTTTTACTCTAAAGCCTCAAATAAAGTGAAAGTGCAAAATGTATGCTAAGTTAACAAGCTTTTGTTATTTTGCATTCCTAACAAGTTGCAACCTAAAGAAAACTTATGGCTATTCTGGTGGCTTCTCTTGAAAAGTGCTAAAAATAATGATAATGAGAGTTTTCACATTGATTACAATAAATCCATTACTAGTTATTCAATCAGAATATGCTTTTATTATTCAGAATCTGGAGGATGTTACTGTAAATTTGTAACTTCTGGGGACTTCTGAACAGGATGCTTGCCACACAATATAAAATAAAAAATTTCTTTTCCCTAGCGCCTGTTGATCCTCAATCCACCAGGTCTCCGATTAGAAATTACAGACCCAATACATCTAGGACACCCTTCCCCCATACGTGCGCCACAAAATGGGTTTTTTGTCCTTCCAGGTACTCCAATAGCACTTTGTCACCTACGACAAATAAGACACCGTGCAGGGCCTTAACAAGTCTAGCAAGAGGCAGCAGGCAAGTAAAAAGAATACTGTGTATGAATTTTCCCGATATGCAATAAGCAACTTGCTTCCAAGCGTAATTTAACCACAAATGAGCACTATGACTTTGGGCTTTATCTTTCTCTATGTGTTTACCTTCTAGATTGGTATAAGGACAATGAAAAGAGTAAATCCAATTTCTAGAACTTTACAGTCTAACTTCGGTAAGAGCGGCTACAGCAATCAGGGAAGGATCATTTTGGATGCATGTACTGCCTGTAATGCAGATTTTAGGCATTAGCCAACGTTAGGTTGACGGGGTAAATCGGAGACGAAGATTTTGCCTTCTAAATCTGGCGGGTGGAGGGGGGCACAGAGGAGCCAGGCAGGGAAGTAATTTTTAATGCTAGAAGAGCAAGGCTTCTTGCTTTCTTTCGCAATCGAGGACAACAGAGCTGACAAGGAAAGCAATCCATGCTGCTCAGACGGAAAGCTGAGCCGAGAGTGTGGTAAAAATGAGGGTGCAAGAACCAGGGCCCCTACCCCTTCCGGATTAATAAACGCCGCCAGCGACCCGGGCAGGGGTGACCACGCATGTGCATCATCCAGCCCGCCCCACCCCACTGGCTCCTAGAGCGACATCGCGCACGCGCCCTGGCGACTCCGCCGCCTCATACCTTCCGCTGTTGCTGTTTCCACCGCGTGAACATTAAGTGTCGCCGCTGTTTGTTCTTAATTTCCGAAATGCTGAATCCTGGAGGAAAGGCAGCCGTCGTTGGGGGTTGGACCCCGCTTTCCGTCGTCCCATCCTCACCGACTGCAGCCTCCTGAGCTTCTTCAGAAGCGGCTTTGCGTTTCAGGCCTTTCTTTCCGCTGCCTCCGCTCTTATCTCCGGCTTTCGCCATGGTATTTTTGCTCCTTGTGGTCTGTACGGAAACGGAAGTAGCTTCCTCTTCCCACCCCCGTCCTTAAGCTTTTATTTCCGGGTCGGGAAGTTCTTAAAGGAAAGTGTATGTTTGCTGAGTGTTATCAGTTTAAGGAGGTACTGAAATTTAGGCTTGAGGAGAGTATACGGAGCTTGCCCAGGCGTGTGAACTGTGAAATGAGTTGCTGAAATCCATTATTGACTTTTAACATTAACAAACCTAAATGTTAGTTGCTCAGTCCTGTCGGACTCTTTGTGACCTCATGGACTGTATGTAGCCTGCCAGGCTCCCCTATCCATGAAATTCTCCAGGCAAGAATACTGGAGTGGATTGCTATTTCCTTCTCCAGGAGATCTTCCCCACCCAGGGATAGAACCTGGGTCTCCTGCATTGCAGGCGGATTCTTTACCACTGAGCCACTATGGCCTAAGTACAAAATAGTCTTTATAGAGTTTACATTGTACTAGAAACTAAAATGATCTCCCAAATAATTACTGTGGTAAGCTATTAAATATGCATGGTGTTGTAAAAATAGAACAGGATAAAAGAAGATGAGGGGATAAAGGGACGGGTTATAGCTCTTAAATAGGATTCTGAGAGTGGTCTTAATTATTGAGCAGAGATTTGAAGGGCATATGGGTTTCCCTGGTGGTTTAGGGGTAACGAACCTGGCTGCAATGCAGGAGACCCTGGTTCCATTCCTGAGTCCGGAAGATACCCTGAAGAAGGAAATGGCAACCCACTCCAGTATTCTTGCCCCAGAATTCAAATGGACAGAGGAGCCTGGTGTGTTACAGCCCATGCAATTGGAAAAGAGTGGAACACCACTTAGTGACTGAACAGTAACAACAAATGGAGCATACAGTGCAGTTATCTGGGGGAAGAGCTGTTAATATGAGAAAAGCAAAGCTTTTTATCTAGGAGAAAAGCTGTTCAGGCCAAGGAAACATTCAGCTCCAAGGCTTCAGTCAGTAGCGAGCCTGGCTTGTTCAGAAAACTTCATTGAAGCCAGAGGTCAATGAGAGGAGAGTAAAGGTGGGTGGGAGTGGGCATGGGAGGTTAGGGTGACAGGTTGTGTAAGATTTTATAAGGGCTTTGGCTTTTATATGAGATGCAGATTTCTTGGAAGATTTTGAGTAAAGGAATGGTGTGATGACATATTCTAAAAGCATCACTCAGACTGTTCTGAGAGTAGACTGTAGGGGAGGGAAAGTGATAGGAGGGGAAAAATGAATGTCTTGAACCGGTGGTACTAGTGGAGGTGGTAAGAAGTGAACAGGTTGTTTTGGGAGGTGCAATTCCTGACAATTGAATGAAAGGCATAATAGAAAGAGAAGAGTCACAGATGACTCCAGGATTTTTGACTGAATGACTGGACGGTTGGAGAGAGAGATATGGGCTGGAAATCAGAACTGGGGAGTCATCAGCTAATGGATAGTAATTCAAACTATTATAGTGAGTGTAGATAAAGAACTGAAATAGAAAAGAGAATGATGAACTGAACCCTGAAGCAGCCTCACATGAAGAGCTAGAAAGAAAAGGAGGACCTAGTAAAGGAGAATGAAAGGGAAAATCAAGAGAGTAGCGTGTCATGAAAGCGAACATGTTTTCCCAGTAATTAAATTTTGCTATATTCCTCATTCTAATTTTAGGAAAATGACCTCTAAACAGTTCTTTTTGGTTTACTGTCAGCAGTTGATTTTCCAGAAATTACCTTAATTTCAAGTTATATGTTTCAATATTGACATTGGGTGTTTTGATAGTCTAATATTTTGGTTTCCATCCTTCATTTTCACCTTTTCAAGTTCTTTTAAACAGGATATTAAAGATATCAAAACTGTAATTTAGAATACAAGCCCCACCAAAACCTTCTACCAAGCTACAAGTCTGGAATTGTGATTAGAAAACAAAACCTGTCTGTTTAGATCCAAAACTGGATTTGAATTATACAATACAATAAAAAGGAAAAAAATAGTGTGGAGCTAAAAAGTCACTAGCCTACAGGTTTGGCTTCAAGCAGTCATAAAAATATTACTTGGCTTATTTAAAGAGGAATAATCAGATTGTAATTGAGGTGGGGGGGGCAGCAGGAGGAGACAAACCAACCTTTATCTAAAAAACAGACTGAAATATTTTGGAAGTCTCTTCTAGTCTTCATATTTTCTGTCTCTCTACATATAGTACATTCTTTCCTTGCAAAAATAAAATAATCCTGAAATGGATAACTCTTTTTATTTATTTAGAGGTGCTATACAAATGAGACCAAGAGCTGTTTATAGAGGCTGCCTTCATTGCTTGTTGCCTTCCTTGCTTGTTGGTAATGATAGTTGTATGAGTTGAATAAAATTATTTCTATGATCAGAATTCTTATCTGGAAGAAATCACAAAAGTGTTGAACAATTCAGCAAAAGTGTGTTTAATACTACTCTAATGAATAGGGAGAGCAAGTATGATGGAAACAGTGGGCTCTGTGTTCAGATCTGTGTTTCGGTTTTGATTCAGTCACATAGATGATATAAAATCTCAGTTAAATCAGTAATCTCTCTGAGCCTCATTTTCTTCATCTGTTAACTGGGCTAATATTACCACATAGTTTCTTCAGATAATGTGCATTAAAGAAACATACACATGCAATAAATGCTAACTAGTTATTTTTATTACTTTTAGATCTAGAGGCTAAGCTAAATATTGTTGAGGAAAAAAGACATCATGCTTGCCCTCAAGTAGCTTACAGTTTGGAAGAAGATAAAACAGAATTCTAGTGTAAGTATTCAGTAGTGTTCAATGTAGAGTGCTCCTTAGTTTGAGGTCCATTTCTTCCATGCACTTCTTTTCAGTAACTGCCTTATTGTTTGTTATTTGCAGGGCCTACTCCTAATAGACTATACATTATTTTAAAATAACACATTTAATTTTGATAGTTAATAACTTTTTTTTACTTGATATTTGAGAATACAAATATACATGATATTCCTGAATACCCTGGAATACAACACATGAACACCAGATGAATTCAGTGATCCAAAGAGAAAAAAACCTAAGATTCTGCTGAGAAAATTTGATCTGTGTTTACAATATGACTTAAGCTCTTTACATAACAGAAACCATTCCATAAGTACAAAATATTAGTCTATTGCATGAGAAAAAAGAAATATAAAGTTTAGGGATAAAAATTTTTTTGTTTACAATGTGCTATAACTCTTTGAGAAACACAAAGTAATAAACTAATGCCCTCTGAGCTTGAATTATGCCATTTGGTCTGTTAACAGTTAAAGAAAAACCAAAATAGAGGCCCCATTTTGAGTAAACTTTTAGACAAACACTTATAGTTATATAACCAAAACTCTTAAACTGTCCAGATTTGCCCAAAGCCTGACTCTGATCTAAAACTAAAACAGCTTTTTTCAGGTCAGTATGACCTTATAGCTTTCCAGCGAATTGCTATAGACAGTTAAGCTTACACAGTGCTGCTACCATAAAAAGACTGTAAGTTTCTAGTAACCAGTCACACGCACACACACACAAATGTGCTCCCACATTCATGCTTTTTAAACACAGCTGTCACTGCTGCATGCTGAGCTTCTAACCACGTTTCAGCTCAAAATTGCCCTGTTTTTGAGCAGTGTTTCTTGCTCAATAAAATACTTGTATCAAGTAAAGCTCTCCAGATTTTCTTTTGACAGGACAGTAGAACCATTACAGAGCTAGTATCTCATCTGTGAATATTTCCCTGGTATCCAAGACCTGTTTTTGGCAGTTACTTATCTCATGGAAGTTTGAGAAGCCTCTCTTTTGTTTATTGTATACCTTAAATTGTCTTAGTGACTAATGAAGATGGTAGAGAAGTTATTACAAGAATTCACGGTGTCAATACAACTCTCAGGATGTCAGATCTCCTTTGAAAGAAGTTAAAAAAGCCAATGAGTAGAATGAATACAATTTTGTGAGGCGATACTGGAGCCACACACACTCCTACCCAAAACTGAATTAGACTGACTCAAATACGAGAACTTCTCAAATACTGAAAACCTGGAGATTAATTTTATGGTTAATACTGTCATCTCTATGTACTCCACACAATGAAATAGACATACTGCATATCCTGGCCTTTCCAGAAACCAGAAATATGTTAGGAAACCAACAGTTTTCTTCCAGAAGTAAATCTTTATAGATTGTAATAATTTCCTTGAGACGTTTAATGTTTTTTCAGTAGACACTAAACTTGGTCATGCTGGTGTTGGATGGAAGGACAGTCCTTACTTTATTTTCTGAGTAGCCTCATCCTTAGCATTAAGGTGGGCTGTTTGCTTAAACAGGGTTTTTTTCTTTTTCCTGCCTGCTAATATTTGCAGAGTGCATGTAGTTCCACCATATCAGAAACTTTGATACACATTTCTGATCCTTACCAGGAAAAGTAACACCACAATAAAAATCCAGTTTCACTAAAATATCATCTCCTCAAGTGATTTCTTGTTGTTTGAGTTCATCACAAAAGCTTTTATTTATATTTCTGTAAGGTATTCAGTGCCTCTGGATGATATTTCTGACTATGGAGCAAGCATAAATAAAATTTAAACATCAGCCTGGCAGGACTTTTGTATATCTAAGTATTTACTATTCTGTTGATTCACTCGTTCAACAAATATTTATTAAGTCATACGTAATGCCAGATCCTCTGGCTTTTTTAATATATGTATTTATAGAATTAAAAAACAAAAAGCAACTCCCTGCCCTCAAAGAATTCCAGTGGGGAGAGCCCAAGTACAGAATCAAATGCCTAGAGTATGAGAGGTTCTATGACCATCACCGTGTTTTATAATCAAGACCAAATTTCTTCTCACATTTCTTCGAAGAACCAGATTAGGTGTATTTGCAAGTCACTTGTAGCTCAGAATATATTTTCCATAGACATTAACCCATGTGTTGTGATTCGATCACTCAAACCAGAGATACAAATATCAATTGTTTACAACCAATAC